TATAATTTCTATTTAGATTTCAGATTTATTTATTGCAGAGAATATGAATAAGTATGTACATAAAAAAAGTGATAGACTTCTATAAGAAGTGAGTATCCACAGATTCATTAAACATGTAATTCGCATAAATGAATTAACCATTTCTTGGAATTTGTGAAACGATTCCATAATCATCAACATAGACACAAACACGGTCATATCGTAGATCTTTAGAAACGTGAGTGTCTTTTGTAACGACGAAAACTTCTTCCAAACCTGTAAATAATTATCATTTATTTTGATTATATTATGCATTCAAATTTACCTGTTTGTCTTTTGATAATACGAACAGCTTCTTCACCTCGTCGACCAAGTAATTCTGGCCATTCTTGCAGTTTGACATATGTTGTCACATCTTTGTCTGCTAATATAAACTTACAACTCAAACATAACTATAATGGAAATTATTTACTTACAAGTAGCAACACCTATTACAGGTACATCAACAAATGTTGTCCGACCAGGGCCTAATAATTTTACTTCATTACGCCTTTCACTACTAAATGTTACTTCATTACGATTGTTCACAATGCTTGCATAAAGTACATATAGATGATTATGTACAACCTCATTTGGTTCATAATTAACACTAAAAGTAATTGGAAATACGTAGGCATTAATTGTTTGTTGCACAATTTTCGTTGAAAGTTGATCAGTCACTGATATATCATGTAACTCAATAATTAGATGACTTCCAGGTTCAATTGAAATGTGATGTTTATGTAGATTGATTATTTGACCATGTAAAGTTAAAGTCCTATCATCAGCATATTCCGAAAAACCTATAAAGACGAAAAACAAAATTTTTAACTTCATATTCAAAGTATATTTACCATTAATATATAATGTATTAATCAAGAGTATAATTAAATATAAGAATTTCATCATCGACTACAACAATTACATGATTAAAGAAATATATTCTTGACAAAAGACAAAAAATACACTTACTGAGCAACTATTGTCTTTTTCGTTCGAAAGGAAAATTAAACAGTGGTCAATATAGATTTCGTCTTTTTTCCTCTCTTTCTCCTTTCTCGAGAAAATAAAAAAATAGACGCAAAGTATGAATGACCGGACTGTTTTTTCATTCTGAATTACCTTTTATACGCCAGGTTAGCATATTGTTACGTCGAAATTTTCTATTGTTTTCCTTCTCTCGTCCGATATGTTCACCAACAAATCAACTGTTTGTTTTATCCATGTTAAAAATGTTCTTATTAGATTAAGATAACATATCTATTATGAATTTAACAATCCGTATTATTTTTTAAGAGATAAGTGAGATGAATTATTGCAGGTTGTAGTAAAAACTGTGATCTACCAGAATAATAAATTTATTTTAAATGATAAAGAGAGCAAATAGAAATTTTTTTACAAAAAGACAATGATCATTAAAAGTCATATAATTAGTTGCATTATTTTGATTGATTTCCTGTTTGGTGTTGTTGTTCCATTTGTTGTTTTAATGCAGCTAATTGTTCAGCTTCTTGAGCATGAAAATAAGCATTTTCTGATGCTCGACCACGTTCACTGAATGCACCACCTGCTTGACCAATGGAACCAGCTTGTGGTCCTATATGATAGTTTTGTTCATTCGATGACATGTTTATTTTAATTGCAAATCTAGAAAGTATTGAAAAAAATCAAGAAAGTGTCTCTCCTTTTATAATATTCATATTTGTTTACTTTCTATCTCTTTCTTTTTTTTCTCATGCAATATTATTCTGTATTCGTTAATCATGCTGTTCTTTTACGTTCTTCAATGACGCGTAAGTATAATGATGACTCAGATATGACCTATGATGAAATGAAACATCTAGATGGTTATTGAGAAAATGAATGATTTAGAATTAACTTGTTAAGTATAGATGTTTTTTTTGTGAACTGTATTAAATAAACGAATTGTAGTGTAGTGAGTCTGTGTAAAATAACAACACAATATAGACATTATCAAATCATTATTTATATTCATTAACTACTTGACTCAGTTCGATTGTTGTATTTAAACATTCTCTTTCATATGATTGGTCCAATTGTATAACCAACTATAAAAACTTTTATTTTTCACTTGTTTATTTTCATCGACGTCACATAATTGTATAAACGAAAGTCAGAATCCATTGATGTATTATCTTCTCTTTTCAGATGGTGAAAATTGCACTTCAATTCAAAGCAACTCTGGACAATGTCACAGATTTTCATATTGCATCTCCAGATGATTTTATCTGGTATTTAAAATTAGAATGTTCGAAATGTCATACACAATCGGATAATTATCATGATATGACTTTAAAAGAATCATCAAATTTAGTTGGAAGTCGTGGCGAAGCTAATTTTATTATGAAATGTAAATTTTGTTCTTCAGAAGGAAATATAAATATTGAACCTGTAAAACCAGCAATGAATTATACAAGTGATGATTCAGATAATCATTCATTTAAAACTCTAGTTATATTTGATTGTCGTGGTATTGAACCAACTGATTGGCAACCTGGTAAAAAGAAAATAAATCTTTCAAAATTTCTCTGATCTAAATTTAATTTCAGGTGATGGATGGACATGTCAGGGTGCAGAATCAAGTACTAAATTTAATCAAATTGATCTATCTGAGAACAAAGAATGGATGGATTATGATGAAAAAACAAAACAAGCTGTAGCTGTCAATGAAGTTGAATTTAAATTTATTAAAGTTAAATAAACGAACAGATCATAATAAAAGTTGTTTGTCATTTATTTAGAAAATAAAAATGAATGATTAAACATACGGGCACTTATAAAATATTTTGACCTTTCCGTCCATCTTGAACTGATAGATAGATATGAGGAAAAAAAAGTGGACTAGTGCACTTTTCTCTTCTCTCTCTCTCAGTTACACATCTATCCGTCAATTTTCTTTTTTTTCTTCTATTCTTTGAAAAAGGACATCAGTTCAATATTTCATAGTATTCTCATTTCAATGTCATCTAATAATCATCTAACTTCATCGTCAACGCCAAATATCGGTAGCACTTATGAATCATCATTAGATCAATTACGTTCATTGTTGCCTAATTCAAATGCAAAAGGCATGTCTGATTATGATGTTGTTCGATCAGCAACGGATTATATACAAACATTAATGCAAGATTCGGGCACAGTAAATTCAAATTCTATTGGAAATCATGCATCTTGGTGACTATTTGATTGTTGTATAAATTTTTGTTTTCTGTACAAATAAATACTGATATCAATTAAAAAACACAAACGAATTGGATAACTTTTTTTGTTGGAATAAACAATAGATATATTTTTTTTTAAACTAATAAAATGCAGCAACAATGATACACGGCTAATGTAATGAATGATAAAACTAGTACCAATATAAGTATAATAATAAAGGAGAAGATAAGAAAAAGAAAGAAAACGTACGTATAAACAAAACTCACTCATATTTAAAATGAGATCGGATAAAAAAAATAAATAACAAGAAGAACATAAGCTCTCCTTGAATAACAAAAAAAACGGGACAAAACATTCCTTCTCTATCGTGTTAGAGAAGAAAATTTAATAAAAATATTCAAGTCTTTTTTTCTTTCTTTATGATTACTAATAGCAATCCATCTTCTCTCCATTTATATTTGCCGCCATTGTTGCTTGTTCATTAAGTATAAGTGCTTTATCATGTAATTGTTGATGAACAAGTTGTACTTTTTGAAAGAGCATTGCACGAATGTCGGATAATTGATATGGACTAAGATCAAGTTGAAATGCTTCTTCAGATGATGGTTCACCTCCAGCATCTTTTCGATAATTATTAAATAAAGAACTACTTAATGCATCTTCAGCTGTTAAACGTTTATGTGGATCCATTAATAATAATCTATCAAGTAAAATAAATGCTGTTTCATCAAGATGAGGTACAATAGTTTCTGATGATAAAAATGGTCTTGGATGATAAGTTGAACATTGTGATAAAACACGACGAAGAACATTTAGAGATCTATCTGTTATTGTTGGATAAGCTAGTTTATGTTCATGAGCAAGAAAACCTAATGAACCACAACGATGTTCAACAACAAGCCGTAATTGATCCAAATAATGTCGACCTGGAAATAATGGTTGACCAAATATAAGTTCACCGAGAATACAACCAACAGACCACATATCAATTGCTGATGTATATGTTCCATCACAAAGCATTAATTCAGGTGCGCGATACCATCGTGTACATACTAAAATAATATTTTTGATTAAAAATTTTATTTATTTAAAAAATAATAATAATAATTACCATAACCAGTCATTGGTGTATTAGCTTCTTCTTCTGGTACACGAGCAAGACCAAAATCTCCAATACGTAGATGACCATCAAGATCGACAAAAATATTATTTGGTTTTAAATCTCGATGTACTATAATTAATTAAGAATAAATAATTATAAATCAATTGACAGTAAATATATACGTACAAACTTTAGCTGAATGAATAAATTTTAATGCTCGTAATAATTGATAAAGAAAATGTGGAATATGACTATGTGTAATAATACGTTTATCTGCTGGGCGTTTATTATTCATTTTAATAAGTTGATGTAGATCTAAACGCATTAAATTAGTTACAAGATATATTTCACGCATTTGTTCAGCTGATGTAGCTGGTGTATAACAATCAAGTACTTGAAGTATATTATCATGTTTAAGTGGTGTTAAAATACATATTTCACGTAATGAACGAGAATAAAATAATTTTGCTTCGACTGCATTTATTTGAGGTAATTTTATTTTTTTAATTGCTACTTTTCGTTGGAGTAATGCATCATATGCTGATATAACTTGACCGTAAGCACCTGAACCAATCATTTTCGGTAAAGAATAACGTGAACCAAGATGAAATACATGTCCATCAACAATTATATTTGTATTTGCTGGTGGTAATATTGATGCATACCGACGACGAGAACCATCGCGATTAAGATCATCATAAATTGACGAATCTATAAGGAAAAAATAATATTTAGTCGACTTTTCTTTTCATTTCTTTTTGTTCAAGTACAAACAAAATAGATTTGTACTGATTACTTACGATTAGTATCACGAGGCATGTGTTCGATCGACAGTGAATCTATACATACGATGATGGTCTATTTATACTTAATCATAATAATAATGCTATGGTATAGAATGGATAGAGAGATAGAGAGAACTTTTCTTGTATGCGAATAGTAAACGAATCATTATACGATATTATTTTATGCCTTGATCCAGGCATATGTGTTCATCACACAATCGACTCGTTCTATCATAAAGAAAGAACGAAATATACAAAAAAAAGGTAAATAATCCAAATAAATGACATATTGTTACAAAATAAAGAAAATAAATAGTTTATTCTTATGAATGTTATTTTCTTTGTCATATCGATATACTAAATAACTTATAGATTAAAATCAGGTCAAAACGAATAATTTTCTTTTTCTTCTATCTCTAGAATAAGTGCATAAATAAATTTCTATGTTGTTTGTAATACAGCAAAATCTCTCATAGTGAACACCTCCTTATTATGAACAGTGAACACTTTTTCGATATGTTCTTTCGATCTAATGTATATCTTATACACTACGATTAAGTGTATTTTTCAAGTGATTCGACTACTGTATATGTCAAATAAACAATGACATCACATCACAAACTCACTGTGGTTTTGTGTCAAGCATTTTAAAACGCAAAGCAGAATATTTAAATGATTATGAAATAAATCAAAGTCAAACTGTTAAATAGAAATAATGAGAAATAATAACCTATATTGTTTCTTTTATTTAATATTTAGTTTTTTTAAAAATGACAATCATCATGTTAGAAGAATAAATTTTTAGCAAGTTCCTTGACGACAACAACAATTTGATACTTGTTTTGTTGACTTTGGTATTTCCTAGAAAAAGAAAACATTTGTTTAAATAGTTTTTTTTGTTCGCACATACGTTTTCATGAGTAACTGATTCAAATTTGAAATTATCATTGTATCTTGATATACGTAACATTTTAGTTAATTCATCATTAACATATTGAGGTTGATCCTGAAACTAAATAACTATTTTCATTATAGAAAAATATAAATAATAGAATTATACTTTGAATATTATCGATTGATCAAATTGAAATTCATTTTCATAATGAATAATAGGTGTTTGATAAGTTACTAAACTACCATTCTTATTATCGAATATAATTGGATCTTCGATTGATTTATTTTTGAATAAACGATAAGTACATGATGTAAATTTAATATCGCCTACATAGACATTTTATTAGTTGAAACAGAAAAAACAAAGAAAGTTTAACCGAGTAAATCTTGTAATTGTTGATTATTAATACAAATTGGTTGTTGTGTAACTAATATTGGTCTTGTAAAACCAATATCAAGTGCATCAGAAATTAAATCACTTTCACGTATAGCACCACTTAAACATTCACCTATCGATAATATTCAGATTTATTTTGAAATTTTTACTAGTTTTACCCCAGAGAATTTGATTTTGTCGTAATTCTTCTGGCACTGATCGATCAGCATATACATCACTGAAATAGAATTCACCACCAGGCTACAAATATTCAATAGATAAGATTGATTAACATAGCGTCAGATCAACTTACTTTTAACATTTCATATACTTGTTGTAAAACTTTTCTTTTATCTGGACTTAAATTTACAACACAGTTCGATCTAAATAACAATAATTCGATTAGATTAAGAAAAGTTAGAAATGCATACACAACAACATTAAATGAATTGACTTTCAAATTAGGATTATCAGTAAGTTGTTCGATTTTACCCAAATGAAATTCAACATTTAGCATTTTAAAGCCAAATTCTTTTGTATGATAATCAATAAAGCGATTAGCAATATCAAGCTAAAATTTATATTATGCACAATTTATCATCTATATCGAAATTGATTTACTTGTTCTTTAGTCATATCTATACCAACAACATATCCTTGAGATCCAACAAGATTCGATAAAATATAAACATCACGACCTGCTCCACAACCAAGATCTAAAACTCGACAACCTTCAAGTTTTGGTGGAAATACCAAACCACACCCGTAATATCTATGAATAAATAATCATCTAGATTTTAGAAGAGAGTTTATTTCCAATTTGCATAATTACTTTGCTATGACATCTGGATGAATCTTTTTAAGAATATCTTTTATAAATAAAGGAATTTCAGCTTTCGAACAGCAAGCATCTGTTTTTAGATCACTTGATTGTTGTAATTCTTGACCATAATAATTTTGTACGCTTTTATGAATATCTGTCATGATAAACTATTCTCTTCTTCTTCTTCTATCCGTAAATGTTCTAGAACAATAAAGTATGTGCATGACATGTAGATAACATAAAACGTGGTGAGCCAATTATTTACATATAATAAGAATAGACGAGTGATATCTTATTTTCTTGGTAAAATGTGAGAAAAATATCAGATATTTTTAACAGCACATTCATCTTGTTCAATACTTTTCGATATTTCTATGTGTGTGCATCATAATGACAGTTGTAATAAAATGAAATTTTAGTCATCGCGAGAATCGTTTTTTTTAATTGTATTACTAGTACAAACGCCAGACGACATGTCTAATGTCATTTGATATATTTTCACACATAATAGACAATTATTTTTACCAATTTTAAACTATTATAGCGAGTATAATATTGATACAGATGTCAGTAGTTGTCAATCTGTTGTCCCCCTTCGAAAATATAAGCCAATCCTATTGCAAACATTGTATAGAGGTTTTTGATGTCATTTCTTTAATGGTAAAAGCGGAGAAGCGTGTTTATAGTACATCTGTTTTTTTGAATAATATTCTAAAATTAGATATAATTTTTTTGTTTTTGTAGATGACTTCTGCGGTGACAAATACCGCAATGATCGATGATGATATAACATCTAATACATATAAACGACGTCGTTCATCGATAGTATCATCAAATAATGAACCTTCAATTGAACAATCGCCGTCAAAACGCGTTCGTTCATCATCTCCATCAACAAATCTTCAAACAATGTTTTCATGTTTAAATAATATTGTTCAATCACATCGTAGTCTTGTTCGAGAATATATTGATTTACAAATGCGTGATCGAACAGATTTATCCATAGATGAACAACGTTTTATTAAAGCTGAAGAAGATCTTATTGAAAAAGTTGAAAAAAATCTTCAAGATATAAATATATCATTAACATTAAAAAATATTCCAAGTAAATTACCACCAGTTGAACGTGTTAAACATGAAAATGATATATTAAAACGTATTGATGAATTAAAATCTAATGGTAAATGGTCAAATCAACGTTTAGTTAAATTTATTGAACCAAAAAAACGTAAAACACATTGGGATTATTTACTTGATGAAATGCGTTGGTTAGCTGAAGATTTTGCACATGAAAAACGTTGGAAACAAATGATGGCGAAGAAACTTTCATTAGCTATATTAAAATATTTTCGTGAAAAAAATCAAGCGGAAAATCAACAACAACGTGATGAACTTAAACGTTTACGTAAACAAGCATTATTTGTATGTAAAGAAGTAATGAATTTTTGGAAAAATATGCATAAAGTAGCTGAATTTAAAGAAACAACACGTATACAAGAATTACGTAAACATCAATTAGATTTACATTTAAATTTTATTGTTGATCAAACAGAAAAATATTCCGATTGGTTAGTTAAATCATTGAAAACTGAATCAAATGCAGATGATGATGATAAAGATTTTAATTTAACTGAAGATATGAATGATGATGATAATGAAGAAACAATTGAACGTGAAGAAGAAGATGAACAAGATGAATATGCTGCTAATGAATTAAAAGAATTAGAAGCTGATCGAGAAGAATCTATTAATGATTTATTAAAACGTTATTATGGAATTGATATATCAAATTCTTCAAGTGAAAAAGAAAATAATATTCCAATTGATATTAAAGAAGATGATAAAAGTCAATCACCAACAACATCAACAACAATAGAAGATGAAAATGAAACAAAACAAGAACTAGTAGAAGATAAAGAAATGAATGATTTAGCTACAACTGCTCAAGCACTTCAACCAACTGGATTTACATTAAATACAACTGAAGTTAAAACACCGGTGCCATTTTTAATTAAACATTCACTTAGAGAATATCAACATGTTGGTTTAGATTGGCTTGTTACATTATATGAAAATAAACTTAATTGTATTTTAGCTGACGAAATGGGTTTAGGTATATAGTGAAATCATATTTAAGGGGAATAAAATGTTTCAACTGATTCATATTTTATCTATATAATAATTACAATCTCGCGTTGTGTCGAGCAGTAGAAATTACGAAATCGTAATAACTAGGATAGATTTCTCCATGAAAAATAGAACAAAATCACTGAGGAATACTAGACTGCCTATCACGATTCATGTAGGAAGGAAATTAATGAATGAAAGTTTTTACTTCTATACACCTTAATATTCCTTTGAGATTATATTTCACAAATCTTTTCGTTTTTTTAGGTAAAACTATTCAAACAATTGCATTACTTGCTCATTTAGCATGTGAAAAAGGTATTGACTACATAATTCTATTTCAAACAAAATAACATATATCTGTTAAGGTGTTTGGGGTCCACATTTAATTGTTGTTCCAACAAGTGTTATGTTGAATTGGGAATTAGAATTTAAAAAATGGTGTCCAGCATTTAAAATTCTAACATATTATGGTTCTGTTAAAGAACGTCAATTAAAACGTCAAGGTTGGACAAAAGTTAATGCATTTCATGTATGCATAACATCATATAAACTTGTTCTACAAGATGCAAAAGCATTTCGTCGTAAAAAATGGAAATATTTAATCTTAGATGAAGCACAAAATATAAAAAATTTTAAATCACAACGTTGGCAAACATTATTAAATTTTCATTCCCAACGACGTTTATTATTAACAGGTACACCATTACAAAATTCTTTGATGGAATTATGGTCATTAATGCATTTTTTAATGCCAAATTTATTTGCATCACATCATGAATTTCGTGAATGGTTTTCCAATCCGTTAACTGAAATGATTGAACAAGGACAAACAAATGCAAATGATTCATTAATTAAACGTTTACATAAAGTTTTACGTCCATTTATTTTACGACGTTTAAAAGTTGATGTTGAAAAACAAATGCCAAAAAAACATGAACATGTTATTATGTGTCATTTATCTAAAAGACAAAGACAATTATATGATGATTTTATTCAATGTAAAACAACACGTGATACTATACAACAAGGACATTATATGTCTGTGATTAATATATTAATGCAATTAAGAAAAGTTTGTAATCATCCAGATTTATTTGAATCTCGACCTATTATATCACCATTTACAATACAAAAAAAACTTATTTGTTATGAAATACCAAGATTAATTGAAAAAGTTTCTTTTAAAAATCCATATCTAGATTTTGATTTACCACCTAATGATACATTTCTTTGTTTTCGTATTAAATTTACTTTACAAGCAACAAGAGATATGATATTTGATTCAATAAATCATATTGATGAAAATAATCGACATATTATTCAATTAACATCAGATATTATTGATAGATATAGAAATAGTTCATTATGGTATCAAGCAAATGTACCAATTAGAAGTATGAAACAATAAAACACATTATTTTTATTTTTTATTTATACATATATAATTTTTTAGACACTCGGAATCGACAATCAAATAAGTTGATTACAGCAACGGATTTTATAGATGATGAATTTCAACCAGAAAATATTTATGTAAGTTACATATTCATTTGCATTAAAAGATGTACTATTGTAGACATTAAAATATCTAAGCATATCTTTCACTGTGGGGTTTCTGTGATAATCGAGTCTTATCTATAGAAGTTCATTGCGATCGATCCCATAGCCCTCGAAATGTTTAGCAAGTAGGACTGTGAAAGCTCAGATTCAGTTCTTTCGAACTGGAACTGTCACATTCCTATTGGCAAGAGTATTGATTTTAGCTAGAAGGTGTGGGTGTGGATAAAGTATGGACACAACACCCACACTCTCACAGTGCATGTCTGTGTATATTTGCTAATAGGAGTGCAGAGCACAGTAAAGCAGAATGGCACTCGGTAGATGATAATCATTCATTTTCCGGATTTTACTCTTCGGATTCTAAGACAGATTCTCAGCATTCACTACTGTCATTATAATTCCTTATTCTTAATTGAAAAAATTTATATGAATATTATTTATTTTAGTATGAAATCTGTAAACAACGTCAACGTGAACGTGTATCTCGGTATGAACTTCTTTGTCGTTTAAATACTGATCGTTGTCAATCTCGACCATTGTATGGTTCAGATGTTTTAACACAAGTTAAATTAGCTATGAGTTCATGTAATCGTTTAAAACGAACAACATTTAGTGGTTATACATCATGTCATGATATATATAAAGAATTAAATACAATAAAAGATTATTTTTCTACAACAAATACTCTTCAACAATTAATTAAATCAAATAAAGATATTCTAACTGATTATCAACATATTCTTGATCGGTAAGTGAATGTAGAAGATAATTAGAATACTTACACTTAAGAACTTTGTCCTTTTTATAAAAAACTGAATTCTATATCTGCAATATTTTCTAGGTTTATAATGTGTACAACGAAAGTCATAGCATCACCCATTGAATTATGTCAATTGAATGGCATTAGTTTAAGAGATAAAACTATTCAACAGAAACCATTCATAGAAGTCTTATCATCAACTGATTTTGAGGTACTTTCATCAATAAATCAAATAAAACAAAATATGTTTTTACAATTTCCTGAACGACGATTAATTCAATATGATTGTGGAAAATTACAAACACTTGATATATTATTAAATCGTTTAAAACGTGAAAAACATCGTTGTTTAATCTTTACACAAATGACAAAAATGCTTGATATACTTGAATTATTTTTAAATCATCATGGTTATACATATGTAAGATTAGATGGTACAACACAAATTGTACAACGACAAATGTTAATGGAACGTTTTAATAGTGATGAAAAAATTTTTGTTTTTATTTTATCAACACGTGCAGGTGGCATTGGTGTCAATTTAACCGGAGCTGATACAGTTATTTTTTATGATTCTGATTGGAATCCAACAATGGATGCACAAGCACAAGATCGATGTCATAGAATTGGACAAACAAAAGATGTACATATTTATCGGTATAAAATTTCAAAAAAAAAATATAAATTAAATTAATTTTCTTTGTATTTTTCATTTAGACTTATAAGTAGAAATACAGTCGAAGAAAATATATTAAAAAAAGCAAATCAAAAACGTTTACTCGGTGATTTAACTATAGATGGTGGTAGTTTTGATGTGGCTTATTTTAAAAAGAATAATATTCGTGATTTATTTGATCAATCTGCAACCTTAGAAGATATTGTTCGTGAACGAAATAATTATCAACAACATTTAGATACTACTCGATCTCCAGCAACAACAACAGCAACAGTAACACCTTCTACTACTTCAGATAATAATTTAACATTAACACAATATGAAGAAGCACTTGCAACAGTTGAAGATGAAACTGATCGACTTGCAGCTGATGAATTAAATAAAGAAGTTAAAGCTGAATTAAATGAATTTAATGAAGATGAAGCAAATGAGGTAAATGAATTAAATGAAGATCAGTTGATTGAAAAACAAAAACGACAAATGAATAAAGTTGAAGAAGAATTAAAAACATTTGATGAACAAGTATGATTTTCTTTTCCGAAAAAATTTTCATTTCAAATCTTAATTCTTTTTATTTTAGTTACGACCTATTGAACGTTATGCTTTACGTTGTGTTGAAGCTTATCGTCATGAACATCAATTAGCACAAGTTGCACCAAATACTTATCTTGATACTGAACAAATTCGAAAAGATTGGGAAATAACTCGTTTAAAAACTTTGAAAGAAGAAGAAGAAAAACAACTTGAACAAGAAGATGATGAAATGATGTACACATATGCTTTAGATAATGAACGACAAACTAAATATAGTTATACATATTCAGCTGCACAAAATAGTTTGGTAGCAAATGAATTAGCACGTCATGAAAAAACATCAGCTGCAATTGCTACTAGTCAATCATCACTACCGCCACCATTGGTTGCTCTTTCATCTATTCCTTCGCCTTCCCTTGCTCCTACTCCTCCACCACCACCTCCTCCTGCTCCTCCGTCTCTTCCTCGTCCTGTTCTTATTAAACGTTCATCTCAAACTCCAAATGAAAATTTTCGACGACGTCGTGTTCAAATTCCATCATCTCCTCTTCTTCCACCACCATCATTACCACAACCAAAACCATCAATACCATCAATATCAGTACCTCCTCCACCAGCATTAATTCAAAAACCAAATTCGAATACTACGAAAAATCAACAAACACTATCTCGTATTATTAAAAATCGACATAATAGTAATGATGATTGTGTTGACTCTACAACACTACTTGTTGCTGATGATTTTGATGATGATGATGATGAAGATGACGATTTTAATAATGATAATCGAATCTATTCATCAAAATCTAAAACAACTCTATCAACAATAACAAGAAAACCTATTTCAAATTTAACACGTGTTACACAAAATCCATCTTCTTCTTCATCAACAACGAATTCTAATGGTCAACAACAAATCTGGATTGTTAATTCATTAGATCAACAATCTGTTCTATCATTAATTAATTATATTAATCCAAATTCACCAAATAATTCTCGTTCAACAGGTTCAGTACTTGTGAGTAATAAATCTAATATGAATACTTCACCTGTAACAAATCTTCTCACACAACAACAACCTCGTTCATCATCAACAGCTGGTACTGTTTATCAAATTCGACCATCACAACCAACACCACCACAACAACAACAACAATCACAGCAACCACAACAACAATCCCAACAGCCACAGCCACAACAACAAAATGTTGTTTATCAAATACAAAATGGTCGAATATTTCAATCAACTAAAAAGACAACATAAACGAGGAGAATATTCTTTATCAGCTTTATTCCACTATCGCAGGCGATAACTCAACAGTGTGTGTTTGTTTTTCTCGGTGTTGTCTCACATATGCATATAGTCATATAAAAAATTTTGTTGTTCATTTTTTTTTCTATATGTGTGCGCTTGTTTCCTCCTTTTTTTTCTCGCTCTGTTCTACTAATATGAAATATAAAACCTATAAATTAAGCAACACACATATATATATACATATATCAATATCTATTTCATTGTTTATTTTTCTTTTTTCCATCAATTTATGTATCTATCTGTAACAGAATTTGAATTAAGTTTTTCGAATTTTGCATGTCATATATTCTCAAATTTCTAAACTTATTCAATGCTATGATCTAGTCTAATGAACATAAACAATCATTAAGATGGATAATAAATACGCGCATGTCATTAATTGTTAGATAAATCTTTTTATCATTGAATCATTTCAAAATGGCTTTTTGGTTCTCATTGAACTCTACATTCTTGACAGCAGTACGTTAATTTACTTATTAGATACTATAATTCCTCGATTTTATGCTGATAATTTCATTTATTTACCGGTAATTTAACACATAAAAATTATAAAATGTTATTTTCCTGTTTATTATTTGTTAACATTAATTCATCATCAGATTTAACAGATTCGAATTGTAATGTATCTTCTAAATGAATAGAATGTTGTTGTTGATGATGTTCTTCTTCATCTTCTTCATGACATACGGATAATTTTTTATTCATATATATCATTTCACTTTCCATTTCACTAAACTGTTGCCCGTACATTGGAATACTATGATGACGTTTTTCTGCTTGTTTTATAGTCTCGGGTAATGCTATTTTGGTTCGTGTTTCTGGTAAAAATATGGCGAAAAGTGCTGCAATAAATGAACTTATACTAAATATAATATAGGGTAATGGAAACCAAACAGATTGTGCTAATAGAGATATTTGTGGTGCCCATACACCACCAAGTCGTGCTATACTAACTGTAAGACCAACACCAGTTGAACGTATAACAGTTGGATATGTTTCCGAGGTATATATCCATGATAATGCTTGTGCTGCTGATATAAATAATTTTGCACATAAAGCTGATGATAAACTAATTATTGGATATGTTTTATGTGTTATTGGTATCATTAATATTGATAGTGAACATAAAGTAAAAAAAAGTACTAAAGGAATTTTTCTATCAAATTTAGTTGCACAAAATTGACATAGACAAAGACCAAATAATTCAGCAAAGATTGAAACAAGAAATATTTCATAGGGTCGATCTTTTGTTAATGTTGTTATACCCATACCAATACCAAGATAAACCATTAAATTTGTCATCATAATATAAAATATAATTAAACAACGTTGACGCATAACAGGTGATTTAATTAAACTTATTAAAACATATGTATATGAATAACGTTTTGGACGTATATGTGCATCACGTTGTAAATCATCATAAAGTTTTTTTTCTGAATTTGCTAATGTACGACGATTTACATAGGCAATACGATGAAGAACTTTTCGTGCTTGTAATAATTGTCCGGATGATACAAGCCAACGTGCTGATTCAGGTATACACCAATAGTAACATAAAAATGGCATAACATATACTGTTAATATCCACATTGTTATTGACCAATCACGAGTATAATAATAGATAAGCATTATTAATAATTCTCCTAAATATTAATTAATAAAAAAAATAAAAAAGAGATTAGTTTTTTTTGTTGTTGTATCATACCTAATGTATAGAAATAAGAAAGAATATTACTTGCTAATACACGTCTTTTAGCTGATGTCATTTCTAAAAGTAAAACTAATGTTATTGAATATGTTGTTTGAGCAAAACCAGTTAAAAATCGACTAATAGTAAATATAATTAGCTTATTATCATTTGACATTTTTGAATGCATTAATATTTGTGTTGAATTAAGTACAAGAACCATAAGTAATATAAGTAAATACATTGTTGTTCGTCGTCCTAATCTATCCGACATAATACCAGTTAAAAATGATCCACTTGTACCAATAATATATGCATTTTGTGTTATACCTTTTAAATGAAGACGTGTACAAACAAGATTCCATTCAGTTGAAATTGTTGTATTATAAAATGTATCATCAAATACCCATTGAGTACATGGGATTGTATTTCGATTCGGAAAATTTTTATCATACATCGTACATTTTGGATCTTTTAATTCTGATGATATATATTTATTAATATAATTTTGATGTATATCCGATTGTATTTTATATGTATCCGTAAAATTATCTAGATTCAATTGACAACGATGATCAGGTGTAGCAGCTATAAAAACATAACTAAATGCTGTCATAGCTGGTAATACAGCAAGAAGACCGACGAGAAAAAATTGTAGTTTTTGATAGAGACCAAATGAACCAGCATCATGTAATAATTGATCAATTGTACTTGCTGCTGGTGATGATATTTGTGGTTGATCTTGAGAATAAGTTTTTTGAAATAATTCAATAAGTGAACGTTTACGATTAGATTTTGGTATCGACATTGATTTTTCTTTCAATGAAAAACTAGAAGTGATATCTTGATGAAGAGATTCTACGTTTTTTTTTGTTTTACAATGGTAATTGTATGATCATAAACTTTGTAAAATTTCATGGATCATTGGAATATCAATTATAGTTAGACAAATGTTGTGTTTTTTTTACAACTTTATATTTAAAATATATTATTGAGATATTATCGTACAATTTTATAGTCAATAGCTGATAAAACCCGAAATATTTATTTTATTGAATCAAAATCAATTCATATCTTAGTGAGATATGTCAAGAAATGATGTTTAATCGATCTTTGTTTATAAAGGTTTTAGAAACTGGAGTTAAATATCAAATCTTTGTTTTTTCTTGAGTGTACAATTACTTTTTAGAGTTCAACGAAATACGTCAACAAAACATAAATTTATGTTGGCTCTCTTGTTTGATTACAAATGTTGAAAGTGCCAGATGTTATTGACTTAAACCTATTAGGATCCACACCGTATTTTATAAAACATGACGTCATAGTTCCTCTTTTTTTATCGTATTCTCACGGATGTTTAAAGAGAAGAAGATCGTCACTCATTGAATCTAGCAGTATTCCAACAACATATAGAATTTTACTACTCCATATACAACAATCATTAGGCAAGACCAATTTCATTATATACGAAAATTGCACTATACATTACAATATAATACAGTTTAATACTTTTCTACGTTAATGATTATCAATGAAATGTTGCTCTGGCAAACTACAGATATCTCTGTTGTTCACTCTATTTCGTCATCGCAACATGTTTGTATATATTTGCATAAGTTAAATTACCTCTTGGAGTAAATGTAATAAGCAATTTATTATAGAAACTAGTAGCACAAGATATTTTTTTCGTTCTTACAAACGTTAGTGTTTCGGTAGTAAATTTAAATGTGATATGTGTAAAGACAAACATGATGTCGCTAACTATTGATCACAATTTAAAATCGCTTATTACAACTTACCAAGAGGTAACAGATCTGATTTGATCAAAATACATGTTGCAATGACGAAATAAAGCGTCGCTACAGAGTAATCTGTGGTACGCCAGAGCAACTTTCTTTTTATTAAAAGTAATGAAAATCAAATTTCGTTTATTTTGTTTTAACAATAAAGAGTGAGGAGTTATTAAAGTTTATTCATCATAAATCTACTTTAATGACATTCGAATTTCTTACAATTGAAAAACGTGATATTTTTTACACGACAATATATACTAAAAGTAGATTGAAAATGCGGTAAAAATTTGCTCGGATATTTAATTAACCGTTATCTATGTGATTGATATACGGTTTTTCAATGCAATGAAAAAGATCGATTGAAAGATTACAAAAGTACTTTTAAATATGCAAATCGAGTAATGCCACTAAGTATATATAACGAAAACGAGCAATAGTTACAATGTAACTTAACTCACCATGTGATAGAATGACGTCTACTCTTTCTCGTGACACACACAGAATATCAAAGGAAAGTCAAACCATAATATTTGTTAGTAAAAAAAGCGTCCAAAATCTGTTGAATTATTTATTAGTTGTTGTTAATTTGTAAGCTTGTACTTATCTGTGTGTAGAATCACGTAATTTTTTGAATATCAATCAAACTCTATTCGCTCTGATTTCGTTTAAAAGATACGGAATTTCAATGTAAACACTTTATAGATAAAATAAAAACGAGGAAATGCGGGTTTCTCTAAGAATCTGGTATAAAAATAAAAAAGAGAAATGTGGGTTTCTCTAAAAAAGCATGTGTAAAAATAGAGTTTCATGCAATTATTTTTACCTCTTCTAATGAAGAGATTGTAGACATATAAATGTTCGAAATAAAATATAAGATTGATTGTTCTTGTTAATCTACTACTTGATAATATCATTTAAGCAACAGAAGGACTTGCTTTTACATTGCCTTGTTTATCGACAAATACACGAACACGATTTGCACGATAATCCATTGTAATTAATGAACCTTCTTCGACTACCATGACATTTGTAAAACCTTTTTTTAAATTAATTATATAAAATTTTATATATCATAATACAAGATTACCTGTTTCTTGTTTAATAATCTTAACTGCTTCGTTTCCATTTTTTCCAACTAATTCAGGCCATTGACTTTTATTCTGTTTGGGTGGAGATTCTAAAGCTCATATTTTAAAATAACTATATAAAACTTTTAATTTTCTTTACTTTTAACAAGTATAACCGGTATATCAATTAATTTTGTTCGATCAGCACCAATTGGTATTACTTCCATACGAACATCATTGATATATAATAATTCATTTTGTTTATTTTTAATTGTAACTTGTATTGAATAACTGTGCCCATCAGAAAAAATTCGCGGTGAATATTTAAGTGCAAAAGCCATTGGAAAACGAATAGCTTTGCCTACTGATCGAGCAAGAGTTTCTGCTGGAGCATCAGCAAGTGATGTATCTAATAATTGAACTGTTAGTACTGCATCAGATTCAATTGGTAAACGTGAGCCACCAGGAAATATAATACGACCACGTATAGCTAATTTTTGTTCATATTTTGGAAGACTAGCTGCATCTTCAATAGAAATAAATATTAAAAAATATATAATATATAAATAGAAATTTACAATTACCATTTAAAACAAATAAATAAATAGCACCGATAGCAAGATAGAATGTATTCATCATTTAATCTACAAAAAAAATTAATTTTTTTCTAATAAGAACTTATCTTGACGATAGCTATATGCGTATGTAGATATTCTATCCATCCCCAAAAGGACTTAGTTCGAACCTAAAGGAAATATATTTTCGATAGATAAGTTGTTGACAGTAATATACAATGTCTGTTTCTTATTGTGGGAAAAAAACATTATGAGTAATCCTTCCTAATTAAGATTATAACATGTTAGAAAGAGAAGATAAATAATAAATATATGCACAGTACAATCGATCGTTTCAATAACGAAATGATAATGAATAATGTATGTCCTATCGTCTATATTATTATTATTGTTACGAAGAAAAAACGAAACATCACTATTATATTTTATGACGTTTTCTTTCAAATACACGTGCAATAATTATGAGTAGAATAAACAGTTTTTTCATTTTCTACAGTTTCATCTAAATGGGCGAGACATTATATAGACAAATAGAGCGTGAAAGACCATGTACTTAATTTCCATAACGATTCATAATAGAGACGGGTCTTAACATACATTTAGTAATTATTAGCTATAGTTAGAATAGAGCGACCTCTTTTTCCAACATAATAAATCGTTCTATTGGTTTTAAATCTATGAATCATCAAATTTATTTGTTTCTATTTATTTACTTTACTTATATATATCGGACTGCCTGAGTTTTATTTTTCTTTCAGACATTTTTATTACTTTTTTTGTCTACAACTCTCTTCTGTTTATATAGTTAAATAAGTATTCAATCGAGAATAAATCCATATATATATATTTTTTCCATAATTCAATTATGATTAAGATCATTATTTTTCAGACAAAATTTTGAGAATAGTTAATGTACTAAACTTAAAAAATCAATGACTGTTGTAACACCTCCATCATCATCTGATGGTGATTCTCAACAACAGCCACAATCGCCATCGAATTCTCCATTCGAATGGAAAATATTAGTTGAAACATTAAACGATAATACGAACAGTACAAAATACAATGAACTTATTCAATCGATCTTACGATGGTTTGTTAGAAAAATCATAATTTAATTAAATAATTTTCTTTATTAAATTTTCTAGGGAAGATTTATTGACTCGACCAGATCCAATAAATGAACAGTTTTTAAATTCATTTGTTATTATAGCAACATATCATCTTGTTGGTGGATTAACACGAGGTTTGATTAAAAAACAATTTTCTTTCGTTTAATCTTTTTATTTTTGTTTTTAGTTGAACGTTCTTATTTTACCGATGTGATTAATGTAGGAAAATTATTATTAAAATATCTCTTACAAAATCTCTTACCGAAAACTACTGAAACAAATCGAGTAATTATTTCATTTGTTCTTAAATAAATATAATTTGATGTTGTATTTTTTAGTTATTAACATTAAATGCAATTAAATCATTATGTTATTGTCAAACATTTCTTTCATCTTCGGAACTTAAAGATTCCTTTGAAGTAATTAAAAACTTTGATGGACCACAAATAAATAAAGAAGGTTCGAGAATAATCTATTTCGAAATATGCAAAAAAATTCCATTTGGATTCATTTCATATAGATCGTCGATTACGTTCATCAAGTAAAACATTAATAACTCGACGTGAAACTGGTTTAGTTGATTCATTATGTAATACTGGTTTATTTGATTTTTCATCTTCGGAAGATATATCAAATGGAAATAAACGTGATAGACCACATTCAGCAGGATCAACAACAAAATTAACATTTTCTAGTATGTCTATTTATCTTCTATTAGAGATAGAGTTTCTCTATATGTACATTTTAGAGCATATGAGTCAAGTTTTATTAACTTATTTTAAACAATTACATGGTGAACAGTCTTTCAGTGAAATATTCTTTCATATGCCATTATTAAATGATACAAATATTCATATAAATGATATTCTTCATAAAGATATCAATATTATCGAAAATAATCATCCACAATTTCGAGAGAAGTATGTAACATGAAAACAAAACTTTATTGAACTTTTTTTTCATTTATTAAATATAGTTTATCAACAATAAAAAATAATTTGGATTTTCTACGTCGTGCATTTCAATTACCAATTATTGAACCACTTGATGAATATCGTTTAAATAAATTTATTCTTATTATTATAAATTCACTACGAATTGCATTTCAATATATTCAATTAGAAATAAATAATGATGAAATAATAACTAATGATCAGATTTTACATGATATAGCACGTATATGTATTAAACTCGGTGATATAATACGATACTCACCTCGACTGGAAAATTCTCGAAATATTTTTTTTAATTATCAACTTTTATTAGCAGTTTTATTAACAAAAGGTATTCAACAAATACTTAAAAATAATCAACAAAATGAAACACAACAAACAAAATTGTAAGTAAAATAAAATGCGGAGGGGGTTCGGTCAAGTTAAGTGAGCTCCAAGTTTACGAGTTTCAAGTTTTTCGACAAATTGTAGTTTGTAACTATGCGCTTTTTTCCTCGTGAGTATCATCAGTCGACTCAGTACAGTCCATAGTATCTATTAGAGCAATCAAAAACAGATGATTACAGTTTGCAGGGAGAGTTTTTCGCGATAAATTAGATATCCGTTTGGAGTACACTTAACTTGACCGTTTTGTTTGCATACCTAAAGTGCTTATAACTAGGGTCCGGTGGCCTTAGGCACTGCTTGATTATAAGTATTTTATCCGATTAACTTTTTTTTTGTTTTTCTATATTAGATCAATAAATAATCTATTGATTCATCTTGTTGCAATTCTTATGTTTTCAACACGAGAAATAATCAATGATTTATCCTATTCCGATTCCAATATTCAAACAATTGATATTCATTCAGAAAAATTTACTTTAACAAATTTACTTCAATCATCACAACGGTATCATTATTTAGAAAAAAATCAAACATTAAAATTATTTTTAATTATTCTTCGTCGTCTTACTTTACCAATACAAATCAAACCAAGCGTAATAATTCCTGACGCACCACCATTACCAACTGATCTTTTAATAACAGAAAAAGATGGTGAAGATGATTATTATATAAGAGATTTATTTACTGAACCAATTTTAACAAATACATCAACAACTCAACAAACAGTTCATCGTTCATTATCATCATCAACAAATCGTAAACGAACAATATTAAATCGTTGTTTAGACGTAGATTTATGTTCAGATGACTATTATGAACAAGATGATTATTATGATCTATTAAATTATCTTGATAAAAATTATTTTAATGAAAATTTTCCTATTGTTATTAATGATCTGAAAATAACATTGAATACCAATGAACAAATTGAAAATTTATCAAATTTAATTCAACATTCAATAGTTTTACCACGTTTTATTCATAATATTCTTCAAAATGATATATTAACACATGATAATGAAAACATTCTACTTGAAAAACTTGGTGTATCATTTGAACAAACATGGCCATTGAAGATTTCATTAAATACATTAATTATCTTACTTAAAATTATATTAAAACGTAAAAATAATGAATTAATTTATAATTTATGGAAAAAATTTCTTCAAAGTATATCAAATACATCGGATGAATTAACACTTGAACATTTACAAATATTTCTCATTTTCTTTCATCAATTAACAATGCAAGAACGTAAAAATATTCTTCTTGAACTTGTTCAAATTATTCAAATAACGAAACAAAATAGTTATTTATTAAATTTATTTGAATATATTATGTTTAATTTCTATGAAATACCAGCAGAAATTATCGAAAATATTCAACAAATTATATCGAAAAATGATATAACATCAACGACAAATTTTAATCAAATTATTTCAAAAAATAATTCAAATTATTTAGATGGATTTGCATTGAATACACTTTATAATAATCCAATTTATAATAAATTCTATGATTATCTTATTGAACAATTAGATTTTACAAAAATCAATAAAGGTAAAAATAACTGATTGCAATAGAAACAGTTTAAATATAGAATTCGTCTTCATTGAAGTAGTTTATAGTAGTCCTGATTAGAATAAGAGAGAAAACTAAATATTTAGCAACTAGAATAGTCGGATTTTCAGATTTTTATCAGTTCATTAAAGCACAGCGGATCAACCTAGAATAATAAATCGACTAAATAACTGTTACACGAATAGCAGTAAATACTTTCGTATTTGATTCTGCAACATATAACTACAAATTTTATTTCTATACTTTAGATAACTTATCCAATCCAATATTAAAACAATATTATGATATTTTATGGCGTATACTTGGTTATTTACCACCATCAAATGACTTTCTTGAAAATATGACAAATCATACTAAAACAACACATTTACTTCATATGTTTCGTTTAGAAAAAAAGATTCTTCATGATAAACATATAACCGATTTTCTTTCAAAAGAAATTTCATTTAAAAATATTCAATGGTTTACAAATATAAATAAACATTCATCGACATTATTTGATTTAATTGTTTATCAAATTTTATTACAAAATCTTACATCAACATCCGATGAAATCAATCATTTATATCAAATATTTATTAATCAATTAAAATCATCATTAAATATAAATCCATATTTAGAATCATTATCAATAATTCCAATAACAAAAATAGCTGAAGATAAAACAAAAACAATAACAATACCAAATATACCACAAGATTTTGAAGAATTATTTAAATATCAATTAAATTATTCACTTGAACATGATAATTTACAATATATATATCTTCGTGAAATTCTTCAAATTTTATTGACAATTAATTCGGAAATTGATAATAAACAATTATATATTGATATACAATTAAATACAAATTTACAATTTTTGAAAGAACAAATTAAATTTAAAAATCTTAATAATGATACATTTAATAATGATATGTGTGAATATATTTATAAAAATATATTTGAAATATTATTTAATAAAAACTTTCCAAATGATATTATAACAGAAGATATTTATCATGATTTAATTAAATATCTTGATGAACAATTTCAAGTTAATATATTTCAAAATTGTTTATCGCCATATACATTATTTGATTTACTTTATTTAACATCAAAAGAAAATTTATCAATAACAATATTTGCAAGAATGTTAATGTTATTCAATAAAATATTTTCATATTCAAATCAATTTCAATTAGCAATTCAAAGTTTAAATCGTATTGCTGATTTAACAAATGAACAATTATCACAATGGTTAGCTAAACTTGTTTTACCACAAAATATTGATAATAATAATCAAATCTATACACCTGAGCAATGTAAACATATATTAGAAACATTTATTAAATATTTAATAAAAAAAAATGATGATGGAACAAATATGATTAGTGAAGAAGTTTCACTTTCGATTTTATCTGTTCTAATACAATTAGGAAATGAATTATTAAAACCAAATAAATATGCATTAGGATTTTCACAAATTATTCAATTATTAGTTATTTTAGCTGGACATGGTTCAGGAAATGGACATACATATTTATTTCAAGCAGCAGCTATTTGGTTAGAATTTTGTGCTGATGCACTTGTAGAAGATAATAAAGAGTAAGATTTATTTTTAATCTCTTTTTTTTTAATTCCTTAAAATATTATTTTTTAGTTCTACACCACCATCGTTCCTTTCATCGATTGTATCAACATCTAATCAATCTCTTTCTTTTTTCCATTCAAATATTCTGGAAGCAAGTGTTTATTTACTTGCCTATATCAATGATATTTTAATTGCATTAAAACATCTATCTACACCTGATTCTTCATCATTAAAATCACCATTTAAAAGTGATGAATCCGAAGATGATGATAATGATTCTCAAGATGATGAAGATATATCATTTGATTCCAAAAAAACATTTATTTCTTCAACAAATTCAGCAAATTATGATCCAAATAAATTATGTACATTTACAACAACAAAAAAAGAATATGCTAATCAACATTGGTATCATTGTCATACATGTAAAATGGTTGATCGTGTTGGTATATGTCAAATATGTGCAAATGTATGTCATAAAGATCATGATATATCCTATGCAAAATATGGTTCATTTTTTTGTGATTGTGGTGCTAAAGATGATGGTTCATGTCAAGCATTAGCTAAACGTTCCAATACAACCAATTTTCAACCATTAACACCCACATCTTTATTAAAAAGGAAGAAAATTAAAAAACCAACAACATCATCAACATTGAATAAAAAAACTAAATTAACTAATCGTCAACGTCGTTTAATACGTCAAATTAATTCTAAACAACAAGATTATCATTCATGTATTCAAAGTAATCATATACCATCGAATGCACTTCGTTTATTTAAATTACTTCAACCATATATCAATAATGAATATCAACAAATTTATAATATTGAAAATAAATTTGATTTAATTAATGAATTTTTAAAATCAAATCAACAACAATTATCTCTCGATAATGATGATAATAAACAACAACAACAACAACAATTATTTACTGGTATATTACATTCACAAGAAAATGCATTTGAACATGTTAAATTATCATTTACAAATGAACATGGCCAACAAATAAAACAATTACTTAGTACAAATTCAATACGACGACAAGGAATGTGTATAATGTCATCAATAAATTCCGATCAAACTAAACAACATTTAATTGTTAGTCAAGAAAAAGGTAAACAAGCTATGATAACTGTTTTACAATTAAATTCCTTACTTAAACAAACAACAACAATGATTAATAATGTATCAAATGATAATTCAGCAAAGAAAAAATTTACATTAAATAAATTAAATACATTTAATATACCATTTACAATCTTATCTATGCAACCAAATCAATTAAATAGTGATTATTTATGTATAACTGGTTTAAAAGATTGTCATATATTAAATATTGATATTAATGGACGATTAAAAGAACCAACAATTATTTTACAACCAAATTTAGATTCGACAGGAAATTATATTATAAGAGCACAATGGTTATCAGATAAAAATCAATCACAATTAGCTTTATTAACAGCTGATTTTATTAAAATTTATGATTTAAGTATTGATACAGTTAATCCAATTTATTATTTTATTTTACCAACAGGTAATTAAAGAATCGAAATTATTCGAATTGTTACATCAATTCTCTTGTTAGTCGTATAGAAATAGATTCATAGAAAAGAATGTATGGACTTCGAAAGGATTCACTTGTTATTTTGACTTAGATCCAGAGATGCAGAATCTTCCTCGTCTGCTCCCGCACGGGGGAAGAAATTTTTGGTGTTTGGGAAGATTCTGCACAGATCTCTAAAAACAACTTCATTTTCATCGAATTAAAATTGGAATAAAGTGAATCGTAACTACGATATTCCTATATGAGTTATCTTCTGTACTTCCACAGGATATAAATGATCTTGTTCTCAAATCTGAGCTACTCAAGTGGAAAGTCTGATGTTAACTATCTCAAAATAGAATTCTTTAATACAGACAGATGGATATTTACACTATATCAGCTAATGAACTGCAGAGTCGCTGCAAAATCCGGCTCCGACTGAGCTAAATTGGAATCGGAGTCGGATTTTAAAGGGACTCTACAGTTCACTGTTCTCAGTTGATAATAGCAATGAATTACTCATTTCGCCTCTCATGAAGAATATAGTTTATCTGTGATAGAAAGTTTTTGATGTATACGCATATTTACTTCGAGTTCACTTTAATGAGAGAATCAATCGAATTCAGTTTTTAATAATATTGATCTTTCTCTTTACTTTATTTATTCGAAAATTAAATCTGATTTTAATTTAGGTAAAGTACGTGATTGTACATTTTATTATACAAAACGTAATAATATCGAATGTTGTTATATATTAATTATGGCTTCAAATGGTTATATATATTATGAACAATTATCTGAATCATCATCGGCACGTAATGGTTCATTTTATGTAACAAATACTCTTGATATTAAACATGAAACTATTACTGAAACAAATAATAATGGTATTTTACTAGGTGGTGGTGTCTCCGTATATTTTTCGTCAACATTAAAACTTTTATTTTGGTCATATGCACATGGAAAAAATTTCTATGGTATTATTGATGAAGCAAATATTGAAAAATTATTAATGATACGTTCAATTGATGTTAAAATGACTCCAACAACATCAACAAATGGTAGTAATAAATCAACATTAACATATCATACATTATGTTCATGGTCAGAAATTGCACATCATCCAGGTTTAATTTATACAATGACACAAATGACAAATAATCCTGTTGTTTTAATGCTTACACCATCATCTGTTCGTATAAGTGAAATAAAAATGCAAATAAAAACAACAAAAATTCAAGATATTGTTGCATTAAGATATGATCAGCGAACAACATTTATTCTATTAGCTGATGATGGTAGTTTAAAAATTTTATTAGCTGAATTAGATAAAACAAATTATTGGTTAAATAAATTTTATCAAAAAAAGAAATATTTTCCAATGATTGATTTAGATTTAAATGAAGATAATTTTGATTATGAAAATCTTAGTCATCAATATTCATTATCTGATAATGAAACAGATGAACAACAAGAACCAATTGTTAAACGTCGAAAACAAACAATAACAACAATAAATCCATCAATAAGTAATCAAACAAGTGAATTATCAAATGATTCAATTAAATTTCCAGTAGATTTTTTTGAAACATGTCATCTATTAACTGAATATGAATTTGGTGGCCGAGATTTACTTGATGTTTATAATGTTGCTCAACTTAAATTACGTTTATCAACACCAGGAATGTTTATTGCAAATGTTCGTACAGGTGGTTTTACACTTGAAGTTATTAATAAAGATTCAGATAATATGGTTATAACTGGTATTCGTATACATATTGGTTCATATTCATTAGATAAATCACCACAATATTTTGAATTATTTGGACGTACAATACATATTAATAATTTACAAGGACCACGTTGGTATGATTTATGTTTAACACGTGAAGAATCAATTCAAGCTGAAAAGAAATTTAATATATTTATTGCACAATCTATCGATACAAATCATATAACTGTTATTGATGATGTTAAAGTTTATGGTAAAACAAAAGAAGAATTTCAATGGCCTGATGATGTTGATGCATCACTATTAGCTTCAACAGCAAATACAGGAGTTATATCAACAACAGCAGCTAATGGATATTTACATTCATTTAGACAAACAAATGATGAAAAAGAATTAGCGACATTATCATTAACCGACAGGTCTGTTGAAAATATTGACTTAAGTAATAAAATAATTCAGATGAGTGGGTGTGGACTGCCATAGGTAAGGGATGTGGGTATTTGAAGAAAGAGAAATATTCATATCTGAGCCAACTCATACATCTATAACCACAGACTTAACTATCATTCAGACTGACGCCCACACTCTCAACAAGAGTGGCGGCGCCAGGAGGAGGGAACGGGGGCTAGACCCCTTTTCCCTCTCCTCAGTCAAAGTCTGGGCGGTGGAGGGCTGAACTAGTGATGTAACCACACTGGAGTCAGATGGGGCTTAACCCTATCACCCGGATTTTTTAGTTACTGAACTTGCCAATCAGAAACTTCAAAAGACTAGATAGTTTTGGGGCTGAGCCCCATCATCCTTAAATTTCTGGTTACGCCACTAGACTGAACCCTTTCGAAGCAAAACTCCTGGCGTCGTCTCTACTCCACTATATAAAATTGCTTAATATTTTCTTTTTCTTTTAGGTTACTTGTATATAGTATGCAAGTGTTAACAAGTTCATTATGTTTACGTTATAATTTCGATGAACAAAATCGTTTAAAACTTAATTCTGATATTGTTCAATCTACTTCTGATATGTTTCATATGTCTTTACCACCACAAATTCAACGATATTCTCATCAATTATTAAAAGAATTTTTTTCATCAATATCATCATCAGATTTAGATTATTATGAACATATTGATCGTTTACAATTATCATTTCTTTCTCAATGTTTTTCATCAAAAAATTATTTAGAATTATTTAATGATATAAATACATATGAATATTTACTTTTATCATTATTATCTATTACACGTCATCGTCCACATAATATAAATCGATTTTTAAATATAACACAAAATGAATCAAAAGATGTTATATCAAAATCAGCATCAATGGAAATATTTATTCCATATTTAATAAATATATTTTTTAATCTATTAAATCAACGTCCATCAAATCCATTACTTGAATCAATTGATAATAAAACAATTGATTTAAAACAAATTAAAAAACTTCTTCATATTCTTGTTGATATTTATCATTCATTAGCATTAAATGAACCACAAATATGTATGAATTTAATTGTTGAATCATACATACGTTTATTAACTTATCATGATTATCAAATAAATTTTATAATTAAAAATGCATTAAATCGTTGTATGCAACCAAAAATTCAACGTTTAATATCGAAATTATCAACAGCAAGTGATTTAAATCAACAAGATTTATCTGAACATAAATTTCATTCAATGCCATTATCAGCACAAATTTATCCAACTGATGAACAAACACGTCCACGTTGGAGAGAAACAACAACTGGAACTATAACAACAATAACTCCAACAACAATTCCAACATCATTATCAACAACACCACCACCACCGCCAACAACAACAACAACAAATGATGAAACAGCTATGTTACAATATGCACTTGCATTAAGTATGTCAGAAAATCCTGATCCAACATCTTCAACATCAGCAAATCTTCCACAAGCAATTGATTATGTTGATAATGATGATGAAAATCCTCCAATACAAAATGATGTTGAAATGCGTCAAATGATGGAATTAATGGTCAATGCTGCTGTTATTGATAATCCTCAAGCAACAAATAGTGATAATAATAGTTTATATGAAGGTGATGATGGTCATGTATCGGAATCAAGTTCAACAACAAATGATGGTGGTGAACAAACTAATAAAACAACATCAACACCTAAACAACAACCACCACCACCTCCACCATCATCATCATCAAATGATTCAAATTCAACAATAAAATTAAATATTAATGAATCAATTGATTCAAGTGTTTATGAACAACGTTTATATGAATTAAAACATTTAATTGTTGAAAAATTATTAGATAATCTTGATGAATATTTATTAAATAATTCAACATTAAATGGTTTAAATTCAATTGCTTATTTACAATTATTATTAACATTAACAATTGAATTTGCTTCGAAATCTGATGAAAATAATCAACAATTTGTTCATTATATATTAAAAAGTTTATTAAGACAAATGACATTTATTAAAGATAATAATGAAAATTTAATAAAACGTACATCACAACATGAAATACAATTAATGTTATTAAGATTATTTACTGTTTATGTTTCATTTATGCTTAAAGTACGTTTTAATGAACGTGAACAATATATACATTTATCATTAACAGCAGCAAAACAATTAGATGAATCAAATGTTGTTAATTATTGTTTATATGCATTAAAAATTGTTTATAATTATTTAGTAAAACAACCAATTGATGAAAATTTATTAAATGAACAAACAATTTTATCACCAAGTGGTACAACATTAACAACAACAACGAATACACAAACATCATCATCAATAACAACGATGACACTATTAAAATCAGGAAATCAACAAGTTTTACCAGATTTATCACCATTTTTCTATAAACAATATACTAAACATCATGCAAATGATGTTTTTGAAGCTTATCCAGAATTATTAGCTGAAATTGCAACAAGATTACCATATCAAGTAAGTTAAAATTAGTAGTAGGAAATTAATCAATAAAGTTTTTCTCTTTTATTTCATAGATGAAGAAAGTTTTCGATTGTACATCTGAATCACGTCCGTTTTTACTTTCGTCTGATTGGCAAAAATGTCTATGTGAATATTATGTTTTACCGCAAGCATCATTTCTTAAACGTCAAATTCGTAAATTACTTATGTATATTTGTGGTTCACGTGATAAATATCGTAAATTACGTGATTTACATGTTTTATCAACAAATATAAATGAAATCAAAAAAATTTATGAAGAAAGTTTTTCATTTATTAATAATGATCAACGTAAAACAATATCAACACAAATTCCTTATGTTACATTAATGCGTCTTGTTGATCATTTAAAATCTTGTCAAGATATAAGTCTTCAACGTTGTTCAAATTGGCAAAAATTCTGTAAAAATGATTCATCAATTCTTCATTTTCTTATACAATTAATTATGCTTGTTGATGATTCGTTAGTACCATTTATTCTTCATTTATTAATAAATTCAATTTCATCATCTTCAAATGCAACATCATCATCATCCTCATCAAGTCGTACATTAAAAACATCGAAATCAGTTCGTCCCAATGAATTTGATTCTGCCGATGATCTTTCAGTTTGTTCAATAGCTTTACAATTTTCAAAAATAATCTCACATAAATTATTAGAAGATTTTATTCGATTATTTTTATTAGAAAATAATCAACAATCAATTCGTTGGTTAACACATACATTTCTCTATAATCTTTATATAAATTCCAATAAACAATTACAAGATCATATATTTGATTTATTAATTAATCTTTGGTCAACAATATCACATTATGGTTTAAAATCATTTCAATATATTGATTTATTAGGATTTATTATAATTAAAAATAAAGATGATAAACGTACAAATGAATTTCTACCTAAATTAGAATTAATGTTAAAAACAGAAAATCAATTATTATTAAATCATCCAAATGCATCGATTTATCGTCGTTTATCAACAATAATTGATATTGAACAAAATAATGGTTATTATTTTGAAACTGAACCATGTCTAGTTTGTAATAATCCTGATATACCATATCAACAAGTTAAATTACAAACAATTAAACTTGATCAACGTTATACAACACAATCACATATTATTAAATTAATTCAAGCATATTCAATACAAAAATTACATATTAAAATGAGTGAAGTTAAACGTAATAAAGCTGTCCGAACCATACGTTTTTATTATAATAATCGCCATGTACAATCCATTGTTGATTTAAAAAATAGTGTTAATTGTAAATGGTTATTAGCTAAAACAATCAAATTAACCAATATACAACAAACAGAAGTTAAAGTTGATTTTATTATACCGATTATAGCTTGTAATTTAATGATTGAATATGTTGATTTTTTTGAAACACCAACTGCTAGTTTACCTACAGTTACGGATACAACAACATTACAATGTCCAAGATGTAATTCAGCTGTTGCAGCAACACCAGGAATTTGTCCAAATTGTGGAGAAAATGTTTTTCAGGTTAGATAAAAAAAACATAATTTTCTATAGAATTAAACTAGTGGCGTAACCCTATCACCCGGATTTTTTAGTTACTGAACTTGTCAATCAAAAAATCCAAAAGACTAGACAGTTTTGGGTCTGAGCTCCATTAACCTCAACTTTCTGGTTACACCACTAAACTAAACATATTAAGATTTTATTCTGAGTATATTTAATCTAACCTTATGACTTCAGTTATTATGATGAGCACACTAGCACTTCAAGAGGCAGCATGTGATAGCAAAAAGTACGATGATTTGAGTTATGAGTAGTGCACTGCCACTACGATATATGTAAATTGCTTCTCCTAAGAAACACACTTTGCACCGCGCATGAATAAAATTGATTCTAGCACTTTAGAGATAACTATTCACAAAAGTTTGCTTTTATTTTCGAAAAGAAAAATTTGATTTATGCTAATCGCTTCTTTAGTGTCATAAATGTCGATCAATAAATTATGATGAACGTGATCCATTTTTATGTAATTCATGTGGTTATTGCAAATATTGTAAATTTGACTTTATTTTTACTGCTAAACAAGTTAATTATGTTGAACCAATTGAATCGGATGAAGATCGTGCTAAAACTATTACAAATATCAGTCAATTATTAGAAAAAACTGATAAAATATATCGTCAATTAATTAATCAAAAACCTATACTAGAATTTCTATTAACAAAATTAACTTCGGATGATCAAGGATCTCCTGTTATTCCATCATTACCAACAACTACACCCACACCCTCAACAACTACAACAACAACCGGTGATACAAATGAACAACAACAACAAACACCTACTGTTCCAACTCCAACTGTAACATTAACTTCAACAAATAATCTTAATGGTATTAATCGTATTGTTCAACAAATAGCACCAAAATATAATACAGAATGTCGTCAAACTTATGATGAACTTGGTAAATATATTCAAAAAATAATATGTGCACGTAAAGAACTTTATACATATGATCAACGTCATTCAAATCTATCATCATCATCAACAACAACAATAAATACATTTTCAACATCACATAATTGTTATGGTTGTACATTATCAACTATATCTCATTGTATACTTCTTTTACGTGCATTTGCTTCATCATCAAATCGTTTAAAACAATCCATAACAAATAATATTCCATTAATTGATGAATTATTATTAAATAATATACGTTATACAAATCAACAAATACGTCATGATGTACGTTTATTATTCTGTTATTTAACACGTGATAATTCACAATTAACAGATTATATAACAACAAAAATATGTCTTAAAATCGAAACAATATTTCAACAAAAAATATTCTTATCATCATCATTAATTAATTATGATTTATTAGTACTTTATTCACTTATTCAACGTTCAAATCAAGATGATCAAGATTTATGTTGGGAAAATAAATTACGTTGTATTGTTAAATTATTTCTTCATTCATTACGTTTATCAACACCACAAATACTTGAAATAATAACATTACCTTGTTTAAGAATGTTATTACATTTATCAAAACCAATAAATACAACAACAACAACAACAAATAATAATAATAATACAAAATTAGTTTCAATTGATATTGAAAAATTCTTATCAAAACAAATAACATATCATGATTTTAATACAATACAAGATAAAACAACAATAAATTCATCACGTATAAATAATTCATGGTTAGAAACATTAATATTTTGTTCACAATCAGCAACAATACGTTATTTAACATGTAAATTAATTCAAACACTTTGTACAAATGAAAAACAAAAATTTTTTATTATACAAATTTTAATGAATTATTTACCGATGATTTGTAATGAAAATTTATCGAAATATTCATATGAATATGTACAATTAATAAAAGATTTATTATTAAATGATAATCAATTAAAATTATTACTTTCAAATGATGAACATTTTAATATAATCAAACAACTTGCTTTCTTAATTGAAAATCAAATTGATCTTATTAATAAACAAGATGAACGAAATTTATCAAATTCAAATTTAACATTTGGTTATTCAATAAAATGTTTAATTGAATTGTTATATTTATTTCTTCAACAAGATGAATTGAAACAAAAATATAAATCAATATTAATCGCAATTGTTTTAAATGGTTATTTAACATTAAAAAAATTAATTGTACAACGAACAAAATTAATTGATGAAGCACAAAATAAAATGTTAGAATTATTAGAACAAATGACACGTGGTAATGAACAAGAAACAAGACAATTTATGATTATTTGTATTGATACAATTGAAAAATTTCAATTAGATGATATGCAAACACCATTGTTTATATTTGAACGTTTATGTAATTTAATTTATCCAGAAGAAACTATGCAAGGAAATAAAGAATTCTTTATTGTTGTTGAAAAAGATCCAAATCAAGAAGATTTCTTACAAGGTAAATTTGACACAAATACTTAGTCATATAAGAAAGGTTTTTTTCCTATTTGAATATAATACTTGCATCTATCGAAAATCTAAATAGCATAAATTCCATTAAATACAGTAAAAATCAATTACCATATTAGTAAAATTCGCGAACGGATATACAAGAAAAATCAATATAGATCGAGTTCAAATTTATTTCGATCTGTTAAATGATTGAATATATTATCTCATAGTTCTATTTCGAACTTGATCAAATAGTTCAGCTAGGATGTTGATGTATAATTAAAAATCAGTTTCTGTACATATCATATTAAAGCAAAACATTTGAAAATTTTCTCTCTTTCTATTTTTAGGTCGAATGATGGGCAATCCATATAGTTCAGCTGATCCAGCTATGGGTCCATTAATGCGTGATATTAAAAATAAAATCTGTACTGATTGTGAATTAATTGCATTACTTGAAGATGACAATGGTATGGAATTACTTGTAGCAAATAAAATTATCAATTTAGGTTTATCTGTTCGTGATGTTTATAAGAAAGTTTGGTTACCTTATATAAATTCTCATCAAACAACTCCTTCATCTGGAGATCCATCTCTTGGAGGTGCTCAACCAATTGTTAATTCATCACAAAATGAACATGAACCTATGCATATTATTTATCGTATGCGTGGTTTATTAGGTGATGCAACTGAAGATATAATTGAAACATTTGATACAAAGAAAAATGCTGGTGAAAATGGTGAAGATGATCCTGAAGATATTTATCGTTTAGCAAATGTTCTTAGTGAACATTCAGGTTTAGAAACAATGTTAAAACGTTTAGATTCTATTTCTGATATGTCATCTGGAAAAGCATTATTACAAATCTTATTAAAATTATTTGAATATGCAATTAAACTTAAAGTTAATCGACAACGTTTAATTGATCCAAGATTACGTGCAATATCATCAATGTTAAATAAACTTAATTTATTATTAAAAACTGAAATTGAAGAACAAGGACGTGATCAAGCACTTTTATCATTAACAGAAAAACTTCTCTATATTATGGATCAATTATTTCATGAAGCTAGTACAACATTATCACAAGATAAATATAATGAATTTTCCGTATCATGCGAAGGTTAGTATATTATATAAGTTATAGTAATTCTTGTATAACATTTTGTTGTATGATTTCCTTATATGAATTTTCTATTAACGAAAAAATCATACATCGCATAATTTAACAGTGCTTTATATGGTGCGTTGGCTGAGTAGGCAGTGCCCACCCGATATTTCGATTGGTACACCCGAGAAAGAAACTTGAGTAAAACGCTGTAATTTAATCGATAATTCTTTGCCTCTATACTTCCAGAGACATGATTGAAATATCTAATTCTATCCGAAGTAAAATAATCGAAAACTTATTTCCAGTGCAAAGAAATTCATCAGGATCTTCTACAATTATGGATAATACGATATGTCTTTCGGATTGATTTTCTTTTTCCATCTATCGCTCTCTCTCGAATCCTAAGACTTACGCTTTTTCTCCTCACATAAATGACACACTTCGATCTATTTCCTAAACTAAATGTAAGATTAATCAGTATATGTATTTAGTATCTTATTAATTCATTTTAGGTGATATTGAACAATTACGTTCATTACTTAATTATATAAAATTATCATTTGTTAAAAGTCATCCAAGTTTAATGGAAGCACTTATTCATCTTTTACCATATTTATCATTTGGAAATAAAGAAAAAATGCAAACATTACTTGATTATTTTAAATCTTATCTTGAATTTGATCGATTTGATCTTGAACAAGTATCAACAGCAACATCATCACCATCAAATGATAATGATAGTCAATTACATTTAGATTGTTTCTGTGAAGTATGTAAACATTTAGATAAAAAATCTATTTATGGTAAAGAATTTCGTGATCTTGTCAATGAATCAAATGGTATTATTGATCAATGTATAAATTATATTGAAACAAATTCTCCACAAGTTAAAACATATTTAGGTATGCAAGATCAAGATAGTTGGAAAGAATTTTTAAATAAACCAAGTTTATCATATGTTTTACGTTTATTAACTGGTTTATCATATGGACATGAAAATATTCAAATGAAAATCGGACAAAGTTTAATACGAATTTTACATAAAATTGAACAATTAACAACAGCTGGAAAAGTTGGTGTTTTAGCTGAAGATCTTTTACATTCATTGACTGAAAATGAACAAGTTGCAAAGAAAATTGATGATGTTAGAAATCAAACACGTACAGAAAAGAAACGTTTAGCACAAGAAGCACGTGATAGAAAAATGCGTGAATTAAATTTAATAAAAACACGAAATAAAAGTGTATCGGAATCATCTGCAACAGCATCGAAAATACCAGTAGCAGCTGCTAATGTTGATTTAACTGAAGAAACTGGACATGTTTGTTGTATTTGTCGAGAAGGTTATAAATATTTTCCAAATAAAGTTTTAGCTATTTATACATTTACGAAAAAAGTCGATATTGAACCATTCGAAGGTAAAACACGTAAAACATCTGGTTATGCAACTGTAACACATTTTAATATTATACATATTGAATGTCATACATCAGCTATTAAACAAGCACGATCAAGAGATGAATGGGAATCAGCATTATTACAAAATGCAAATACACGTTGTAATGGTTTATTGCCGTTATGGGGACCTGATGTAGCTGAAACACAATTTACAACGGCACTTGCAAGGTTTGAACTATAGTTGTAATTCTCGATAGTTTTAAAAAGGGGAAAATTTATGTTAGATTTACAATAAATAATGACGGGAGTTAGTTTCATATAGTTCATTTATGATTTAGATGTCGTTAAACTATAAAAAAAAATTCGGAGTTTCTCGGAGTTAGAGCCCACTGGGTTCGGGTCTAAAAAAGGTTTATCGAACGGGTCCTGGTTGGGTTCGGGTTCAAAAAAGTGTGGATATGATGGGCTCTACTCGGAGTCAGTGCCAGAGTTGGAATCGGAGTTGACTCTTTCGATTCTGCAGTTTACTAGTTGAAATATACGTAGATTCAACTTTTTAGATTTTGTTAGTTTTGGACGTAAAAAATATGAAACTTTTATTTAATCAGAAAGATCAAAAACTAAACCCTTGATTTCTAATACATATAGATTCATAACAAAGAGATGAGAAGCTAAAAATTATAAATAAATATTTCTTATTAATTTAGATATGATACCAATATAATTGAAGCAACAGGTGTTCGTGAAACATCACCAACATTATCACTTCATGATATAAAACTTCTCTTAATTCGTTTTGCTGATGTACAATCATTTAGTGAAGATACAGGTGGCGGTGGACGAGAATCAAATATACGTTTAATTCCATATGAAATGCACGCAATTCTTTATGTTTTAACAACGTAAGATAAAAAGAAGTTTTTTTTTCTTTATCCTAATTTATTTTTTATATTTTTATAGAAGTCGACAAATTGAACGTGAAGAGAAATTATTACAAAATTTTCTTAGTCGTCCTGATTCGACATTAAATGAAGCATTTGAAGTTGATGGCCCATTTTTCATGACAACATTAGCATTAATTATAATGAAACCATCCGATTGGGAAAAGAATCGTCTTACTTTTCTTCAAAAACTTCTTCTTACTGCACATATTCGATCAACTCATACACCAAATGATCGTACAAAGTAATTCATATTTATAAATTAAAATTCTTTTTTATATTTTCTTATATTTAGAATTGCTTCAAAAGCATTAAAACCATTTGCAATCTATAAAACATCTCTTATCTTTTTCGGACTTGTCAATGCATTCTTTGTTCATATGTTAAAACCGGTAAAACTATAATTAATATTTTGTTGTTTTTTATCTTAAATATTTTTATCTTATAGCGTCTTGATACGATATCAACTACACCATACAATCAACAATTAGCGCAATTTCTTCGTAATAATGATGCGTTTATTATGGAAGCATGTACAAAAATCTTAAAACATTTTGAACAAGATTTACTTTCAAGTCAAACATTTGAAACATTATTTAATGCATTAGATTGTAAACAATTGTCTGAACAATGGATACAAGATGTTATGAATACATTACCATAAATAAACTCTCTCTTCTCTTCTCTTCTTTTCTTTTCTCTCTCTCTGATATGTGCAGCTATTATTCATGCTTGAGCTTGCTAATTTACTTTTTCTTTCCGTCTTCGATATTTTAAGTTTACTTTTTTTTCTCTCTTGTTTGTGTGTTTTTTTCAAACTCAAAAAATAAAAAACGTGTGATTACCTTTTTTCTTTTCTTTTTTTTTCTACACCGCTCTCTGATGTATATCCTAAATGCATATTCATACAAATAAACATGACATGGGCTATTCTTCACTATTTTGTTTTCTCATTCAGTTAAATACTAACAGAATAATTTTCAAATCGATTATATAATGTCATTGATATTTACAATACATAAACTGATGTACATATGACTGTGGGAGTTAAATTGACATTGCTTTTCATACCTGTGTGTGATATGATTTTGGATAAAGGAATGAGTTTAATGAAAACTGTCAGAATATATTAGGATTATAGACATGTTTTTCTCTTCGTCGGTCAGTGAGGTTAGTTTTACCAGTCATTATTCTTGTTTTTATTAATTTGTTTAACTCAATTATAATAACTTCAAATTGCAATGACAAAATACTTTTATTATTATCTTAGTTCACTATTAGAAAGCTATAAAAATTCTTTTATTAATCTAAAAAAAAATCGACTAAATTAATGACATTCAAAATTGTCAATAAAACATGCAACAATATAAATAGTCAATCATGTAATGATGTTTAGGTCATTTGAGCACCACCACTAATTTGTAATGTTTGTCCAGTAATCCATTGACTTTCAGGACTAGCCAGAAGAGCAATAATACCGCTTGTATCATCGGTATAACCAGGTCGTCCAAGTGGACTCCATTTTCCAACTGTATGATCAAGTTCTTTTTCAGACATCTTATCACTACCAGGAATATACTTAGGAGCAGATTCAGCTACTCTCGGTAAAAAAACAAATAAGAATCAATGAAACAATATGTAATAATAAACTTACCATACATATCCGTTTTAATTCCACCAGGTGCAACACAATTTACTGTAATATTTCTCGGACCAAAATCAAAAGCAAGACAGCGAACCATACCTTGAACAGCTGCTTTTGATGCAGCATAGATACTATGTCCTGGAAAACCCTGCGTAAATATATAAACGATAAAGATCATATAGAATTTATTATCGAAAGAAAATACCCGTTGAGCAGCAAGAGATGACATGAGAATGAGACGTCCATTATCATTCATATGTTTATATGCTTGTTGTGCAGTAAAGAATTGTGATTTAACATTGGTATTAAAGACCTACAATATTAAAATAATTATTTAATATTTAAACACCCTAACAATATATATTTCGTTCAAAAATCAAATTGACATACCTTATCGATTTGTGCTTCATCAACTTCATTAGGTTTACCCCAATGTTCAATACCAGCATTCGAAAAAACAATATCTAATCGACCAAATGTTTCAATAGTTTTATCAAATAATTTAACATTATCTTCATATTTTGATACATCTGCTTGTACAACCAATGCACGTACACCAAGTGAACGACATTTTTCAGCTACTTCTTCAGCAAGTTTTTCAGATGATAAATAATTGATGACTACATCAGCACCATGTTCGGCTAGACGAATAACAGCTGCTGAACCAATTCCTCGACTTGAACCAGTAACTATCAAGAATAATAGTACATTGTAGAAAACATTTGATAAAGATTACTTACCAAGAGCAACTTTTCCTTTCAAATTCTGTTCTCGACTTGTAGACATATTTGTTTATATTGAAACAGTGATGTATATTCAAATTAACCTAAACATATTGATTTGCAGCCGTATAAATAGGACGATTTGTTTTAATGTGTCTCGTATAAAGGAAAAATACATTTTTCTTTTTTGTTAGTATGTTGCCGAAGACATGTCACATCTTGTTTGAAAAGAAAAGTGCATTACACCTTTCATTCACATTTATAATATGACTTATCATAAGAAAAACAACACCCATAAGCTTTTGATATCAATATCCATGATAATAATATTTATCGAGATAAATCATGTGAAACGAAAATAATGCTACAGTTTTTCGATCATCAAATTTGTAATAATATTTGTCTTTGAAAGTATCTTTAACTAGTCCGCTGAGGATGTTTAAAATTTTATTTTTTTTTAAAAAGAAAAACATATCGATCAATCATATTGATATAAAATATGAATTAAAAACATGTTTTTATATAATATTTCACAGTCTTTAAGTTTAAATATGCAAGTACATATCATTGTAAATAAAAAAAACTTGACTCTGATTGATGAGTGAGGGATGAAGTAGATTGTAAACTATGGATAAGATCGATGACCCGTTTGATAAAAAAAAAGAAGAACGAGAAGATTTTTACAATATTCAACTGACTGTATTCTTTTTCGTGTTCTGTTCTTTACTTACGATAAAATCTATATAAATATCACTATTATTTATGAATCCATATTTTACCAAAGACTTTGTACTTAACAATATTCATTATTTCGCTCGTGACATGTCTGATGAAAAAATTTATGCTATCTCAGATCTACATGTAGATCAAATTGAGAATATGAAATGGGTTGAACAATTATCTAGTGATCGATATTTAAATGATACAGTTATTATTGCAGGTTAAAATAATTCAACTCTATTTTTAAGAAATATTTATTCCTTTTCATTCTAGGTGATATAACACATGTTTTAACAAAATTAACACAAACATTAAAATTATTTAAATCAAAATTTAAAAATGTTTATTATTGTCCTGGTAATCATGAATTATGGACACAATCACAAATGGAAGATGAAGAATTACAAGTTGATAATTCGATAGAAAAATTTCATCATGTGAGAAAACTATGATAGAATTAATATTATATTCATTTTCTTGTATTTTAGATAATAAAACTTTGTGATAGTATTGGTGTACATACAAAACCTGGTGTTACTGATCAAGGTGTCACGATTGTACCTTTATTTGGATGGTAAATATTATATTGTCAATTATTTAGTACTACTTTTTCTTTAGGTATGACGAGAGTTTACATAAACCACATCCCGAGGTTGAAAGTGATCTACGACTTTGGAGTGATAATTATCGATGTAAATGGACAAGTGTAAGTTGAAGAAGAATTTCTATTGTATATATATATATCTTATTTTTCAATAAAAGGAAGTACCACAAACTGAAGCTGCAAAATATTTTGTTGGACTTAATAAAAAATATATATTTGATTTAAATAAGAATAATAATAAAAAAATTATTACGTTTTCACATTTTTTAACAAGCAAGTAAATAATGATGATATTGATTCTGATTGAACGAATAGATTTAAATTTTTATTTTCATATAGAAAATTAATGCAGGCATATCGTGATGAAATGCAACGTCGTCGAGATCAATGGCGTGAAAATAAAAATGATACAACAAGTAATCAAGAACAAAACGTAATAAAAGCGAATTTTTCATTAGTTGCTGGAACTGAATTATTAGACGAACAATTACAAATAATTAAACCACAAGTGCATATATTTGGTTAGTTAAAACAAATATTAAAAAAAATTTATTTATATTGATTTTCAATAGGTCATAGTCATCGTAAAATGGTATTAGATATTGGTGATGGTATAACATATGTAAATAATCCACTTGGTTATGTCAAAGAACGACAAACTGGATTAATAGAACCACCACATGAACTTTATGAAATAAAACTTATTGACAAATAAAAAATATCAGTTTTTTTTTTGTTGAATTCGAAAATTTTTCTATGAATTTTGACTCTATTACAATTTGATGTATAGTTGACCCTTCCAGGACTGGTGACATTTTAAAATTTCATTGAAATTTCACTTGATCTAACACGTTTGAATTCGAATTTTTTTGACGTCTTTTTAAAGTAAACATTGAAACTACTTCTTCTACACATTCGTGCCACAAGTTGTAAAGTCATGAAGGTTATAGATTATTCCTAATAAATTTGACAAAAATAAACCATTTTCGAAAGGTTGAAAATCTATGTTTTAATTTATTCTCAAAATAAGCCGGTCCCGAAAAGGTTAAGTGATAACGCAAGAGACTAGTTCTTCTTATAAAAGTAGCATTTCAATGCTTCTAGACAAATATACAAGTGTCAAGATGTATGATAAATAAAATAAATCAATGTAATGAAGAAAAAAAACGAGTGTCGATGTTATTCTTTTTCTATGTTCTTATCTTTTATTCTTAAACAAACTCACGTGGACGTAATATGTTCTCTTATATAAATGGCCGACGATATCCCGTTCGAAAAAAAGTTTCATAGAACTCTTTCCAATCAACCAACATATTCTTCTTCAATACGTAGTTCATCATTAACTTCATATAAACAATATCGATGTAGAGATAATCAAGTTTGTCCAGATTATAAATGGATTTTAAAAACAGATGAAAAAAGACTTACTCAACAGAAAAATCTTGAAGAAAGACAAAAAGTTTGCATAAAATATATATCATAAAAATATTTCTTATATTTTTTTCAGGCAATTATTCATGAATTATCATCTAATCAAACTTCAAATCAAGCATCAATTGATTATGAAGTTGATTTTCTGCCGGGCGAACCAGTACTTGTATGTGTTAATACACAATATTTTGATATAACAAATAATAAAGTAAATATCAATGAATTAAGTATACAATTAGCTCAATTAGCAAGTAAAATGCTTGATAAAATTCAAATACTTAGTCAAATAACACATTTACCATTTAATAAACAATTTCGACTTGAATTACGTCCTGTATCATTCTATAATTCTGATCCTCAATTAATGAATCTTTGGGAATTACGTCTTAATCTAGATCCTATTGTTTGGTTCGATTATTTCTGGCAAAAAACTGAACAACAAAAAGATTTTCTTCATACAGCTCGTATGTATGTTGATAAATATCGTCATTTTGTAAAATATGAATATTTACCTGAATCGAAATTTGAACCACTTGCATCAGAACGACATTGTCGATATCAAACGACATGTAATAAAGATGGTGGCAAATATGCTCATGCTCTTCATTCAACACTTATTTGTTTAGAAAATGGTTCTATGTTACGTGATGATGGGCTACATAAATGTGGACAATTTTTTGTTAATAGTACTATTGCTATGCAATGGCCAGTTAAATCAAGTAAATACTCTATATCGATCCTTCGGATATTTTTTTATAGAAAAGCTATAATGTGTTGTTTTAGTATTAAATTCTCAATTTACAAATGACAATCATCATGACTATGGTCTAAATTTTCATTGGCAAACATCTAGTTTTGTATTTACAAGTAAACGTGAAACAGTACGTGATCTTGTTATGTATGCTACACCTCCATGGCATATAACAAATCGAAAGATGATTCATTTACCATTATTTTGGTCAACAGTTATTTATACATGTCATTTTCTTTATTCTGAACTTCGTAAACAAACAAATCGTGATAATATTCAATGGCCTGTAAATGCTATTGCACTTAATTTTGGAAAATGGGAAACAGGTAGTTCATATAGTACACATGCAATTGATTGTCATGCTCATGCACATTTTTTATTAACAAAAGAATTTATTTCTGAATGTAACGAAACATTTTTTCAACCATTACAAGGTCGACAAAATGCACCGCCAGATTATTTAAATCAAAATGCGGAAATTCTTGAACGTGAACGATTATTAAGTTGTGAAATTCAAACTCATCAACAAACAATACATGAAATAAAAGAACAAGTTGATGATATTCAAATTAATATGAAAAAAATGATAACTATACTTGAAAATATATTATCAAAAGAACAGACATAATAGAAATTTTTTCCTTAAAATGTACATAGTTAACAAATGATTGATCAAAATTCATTATTTTCGTTTAGTTTCGTTTAAGTAAATAAAATACCTAAAAACAAATTAGAGTAAATAGTGGAGATATCCGCTGTTTATCAGAGCAACATTTAAATATGCTATATTTAATTCCACATTAAAACAAAGTTATATGATTAAAGTATGAAATATTGACTGATTTTGTGCAAATAAGAAATAGTATTGTTATTTTATCTAATAAATGGATCATAAAGAATGACATTTGTCTAGATTTCTAATATGTTTCAGTGTAATATTCAAACTTAACAAGACATTTACAATATTATACCTTTAGTAAAAAACAAGTATGAATCATTCTTCTACCACACTGAGTCATATACAATATTATCAGTAGCCGCATAAAAAAACAAGAAGAAAAAAAAATTATGTCCAAACAAAAATGACTCAGTCTTATACAAAGAACGTAGCGCATTCTGCGTATTACACACGTCTAATTTGCTGATTCATAACGTTCGTCCGTGAGCATCATATTTGCCACGTTGATAAGCAAAAAAAAGAACTGGAGAATCATTGCACCACATTTGAATCATAACTATACACACATATATATATCATCGGTATAGTTTGCTTTTATTATCATTTTTTTTACAATAATGGAAGAACAAATAATTACAAATACAAATCTTTCTACAACAACAGAATCTCCAGTTAAATCGAAAGCTTCGATTGTTCAATTTAATATTGATCGACAATGTCCTATTCAATATGTTACAGTTTATAATGATCGTGCTGAAGTAACACGTTCTGTACGTCATCATTTCGATGCTGAAGGTACTTATGAACTTGTTTTCGAAGGGTTTTCTCCATCTGTTGATTTAACATCATTACATGTCAGTGGTGGAACAGGTAAAGCATGTACAATTCTTGAAGTATCATATCAAAAACGTTATGAAAATACAACGGTAGAAGAAGATTTAACACCATTAGATCAATTACAAAATGAATGTAGTAATATTCAAGCGAATATTGCTAAACATCAACGAGAATTAGCACGACTTGTTAAACAACGTACATGGCTTGATGGTCGAGCATCAAAATTAATGAATCAAGATGGACAAATAAATACAAATGATCTTGATTCAATGCAACAATTTATTGATTTCTATTATAAACAATTAATAAAACTAGATGATGAAACAACTAATGAAGAAAATCAAATTAAAGAATTAACACAACAAAAAGAAAAATTAGAAGCAAAAATTCAAGAACACGGCGTCGTAGAAATTAATCGTCGGAAAGAAAAACGAGAAGTTACTATTGCTGTTCATATAGCAACTAATAAAATTGACGTTGCTTTGGATATATCATATCTAATAAGTAATTGTTCGTGGACTGCTAGTTATGATGTTCGTGTTAATAGTGCTGAAGCAACAAAACAACAAACTCAACTTACATATTATGGTAGTATTGTAAGTATTTGTAGGTTTCTATATTATATAAATGAATACTATTTATATGATATTTAGATAAATAAAAGTCAAGAGAATTGGACTGATGTGCAATTATCATTATCAACAGCAACACCATCACTTGGAGGTGCTATACCAAAATTAGGAACACTTAAAATTGGCTACCTGGTACCTAGATACAATTCTTATAGATCACCAAAATTCGAGATGATGGATGATCTTTATGAAGAAGCTGAAACACATTGTTTAAAAGCTGCTTCATTTTCGTCGAAATCTTTAGGGTTTTCAAAAAGGCGAGCAAGAACAACTTTAAATTCAATAGAAACAGACGAACTAGAAGCGCCAGGTACGATCAATGTTTTAGCTAGTCAAACTGAAGCAAGTATGTCAAGTTCAAGTTTCACGATTCCACGACGAGCAACAATAGATGCTGATGTATGTTGATTTTTTTATATAGGATTTATTCTATCTTTAAAAATTATTCTTTCATAGGGCAAACCACATAAAGTAACCATTGGTGTATTGGATTTAACTTCAACATTTATTTATACTGTTGTACCAAAATTAACAGCACGTGCTTATTTAAAAGCATCAACAACAAATACATCTGATAAACAACTTTTAGCTGGACCAGCATCAATATTTATGGATAATAATTTTGTTACACATAGTTCCATTGATAATGTTTGTCTAGGTGATACATTTGATCTACCATTAGGTACTGATGCAAGTGTTAAAGTTGAATATAAACCCGTGAAAAAAGTCGCTGACACACAAGGTTATATTTCAAAAGTACATCATGAAAATATTCGTCATGAAACACGTCTTGTTAATACAAAATCAAATGATGTTACAGTTTATGTTTATGAACAAGTTCCATTATCATCGGATGAGAAAATTAAAGTTAAATTAATATTACCTGATCTACGATTAAAAGATCAAGGTCAAAATTGTACTGTAACAATGAATGATTCAAATAATTTAGAATGGAAATGTATTTTAAAAGAACGTGGTGAATGTCGTCTACCACTTGAATATACCATTGAATGGCCAATAGATAAACGTGTAGAATACACACAAGTACAATAAACTATACATAATTCAATTATAAACTTAAAAATAATTAAAATAAAATAAAAACATGTCGTAATCTTTTGTAATTCATTTTATATTATAATATAGGAGATAAAACGTTAAATCAATCTCTTCTTTACTTTTTGAACTAACAAACATCTAGACAACGATATATGCAATATTACTATTAACAGTATAAATAATATGATTCATACAATGTCTTCGTAGATAATGATCAAGTTGAAAATAGAAAATTTCGATTATAGACTACCTGATGAGTGTGATTACATACTTTCATATACCTCACTTGAGTTTTTGAAATAAAAAAATATATTATTCGATATGACATTATTCTTATAATTGCAAGAACAAACTGCTATAATAGAAAAAAAAAGTATTATTTTGTAGAAAAAACAATCCAATGCCATTCAATTTTTAAACTGGATTTTTTATCGAGGAAAATGTACTGAATAGTGATGGTTAAAATTTAATAAGTGTTGTTTATTCTGAAATATAATTATGTTTTTAGAATGTGAATTGCATAACAAACTAATTTCATGGTAACTAGATTTGAAACAGATTCTATAACGAGTACAGTCACAAGGTAAAAAACCAGAATACCAAATACGCGTGACGACTTTGAAATGAAAAACAAAAAAACAAGTTTAATATCCAGTTTTATAGCCGGTTTACTAATGCATTATTGGTTATATTTTTTGGCAAAAACAAAGTAATTTGTATCTATGTAGAAAGGAAGAAAAAGAAATGTGATATTTGTATTATTGTCCACTACCTGTACAGGTTATAGTGATGAAAAAATAATACATGAATCATAATATGTATGTATATAAAGAATAAACTAAGCTATTGCGTTGTCATTTTGTTTTACATACACAATATTGTGTATTGTTAATATTATACACAGAATAGATCGAAAACAAACTTCGAATATTCTCTTTTTGCGCATTTTACTATCATCACAGTAATTTATATATTGTTTTAGATCTGCTTCTTCTTAAAGAACTTCTATATAATTAACATCTGTTCAAACAATTTGAAGCACAATTATGAGTGATCGTTATAGTGAAGATATCAATGATGTACATGTGTCTCTTCCCGATGGAGATGAACTTGATGCTAAGCATCAGCCAGACGATTTTGTGGATATAGTATCACCATTACGTGTGGTTTACGAAGGGCCACGCTCTACATCCGTTTATTCAATTGGTCAGGAAAAACACCAACGTCGATCGACAGGTGTTGGAGCTCATGAACGACAATTATCAATACTCGATCCACATTCTGATCGTGTTAGTACAATTCTTGTTTGGGAACATCTAACAGTCTGCACACGAGAAAGTAGACACAAAGAGCTTTTTGGGCGATTGAAATCTTATAAAAATTATGTTCCTAAACGAAAATGTTTGCTTAACAACGTTAGTGGTGCGATCGCTGGAGGATTATGGGCAGTCATGGGTAAGTTATTTTTTTTTGTCTTCCCAGTTAAAATATGATCATCTTTAAATATAGGTCCATCTGGTTCTGGTAAATCAACTCTCCTAAATACATTAGCCTGCCGTTTAGATGTAAATACAATTGTACAAGGTGAAATGCGTCTTAATGGTATGAAATACGATAATGCTGAATTGAAACGTATAGCTGGATATGTTATGCAAGATGATTTATTGAATGGATCTTTAACAGTAGAAGAAACATTACGGTATACTGCTGAACTTCGTCTACCTCGAACATTTACTGATAAAGAACGATTTGCACGTGTTGAAGAAGTCTTAGGTGATATGGGTATAACACATGTTCGTAATGTTATCGTTGGTACACCATTAAAGAAAGGTATATCGGGTGGTGAACGTAAACGTTTATGTGTCGGTATGCAATTACTTAATCGTCCACAATTACTCTTTCTCGATGAACCAACATCTGGATTAGATTCGGTAACAGCACTTGATCTATTAAAAACATTTCATGCACTTGCACATGGAAAATCACAAGAAAAAGCCGTTACGATTGTCTGTTCAATTCATCAACCGCAATCAAAAATATTTAATTTATTTGATTCATTGATTCTACTCAAAGCAGGCATTATTGTTTATCAAGGTCCAAGAAAACAAGCTATGGTAAGAGCGTAAAAATTTATTTTCATTGTCATCTCTATTTTTATTGTTATAGGAAACATTTCGAGCAGCTGGTTTTCCATGTCCCCTGTATACAAATCCAGCCGATCACCTACTAGATGTGATTACACCACCTAAGATTAATCTATCGGGAGAACAAAGTGAAGTAGTTCTTTCTCTCGAAGAACAAGCAGCAATTGATAGCGCAATTATTGCTGCTCAGGAACCTATTGAAATAGATTTAAATTTGGGAGCAAACAAACGTCTAGCTCAAATGGCCGATTTACCAAAAAATCCTGTCTGGCATAAACAAGTTCGCATTCTTCTTCGACGTAATTTTCAAGAACAATTACGTCAATCACGTATTATACTTACATCACTCATTCAAACGGTCGTCATCGCTGTCCTCATCGGAACAGCATTTTTGCAAATTGGTACAACACAAACGAGTACTGTTCGTCGTCAACCAGTTCTTTTCTTTTGTGCTATTAATCAAGGTGTGTTCGGTGCATTAATGGTCATTAATTCATTTCCTGTTGAGCGTGCATTGACATTACGTGAAAGAGCTTCAGGTACTTATTTAGCCAGTGCCTATTTTACTGCCAAGATTACTGCTGATACACTTTCTCAAATTCCTGTTCCTATTGTATTTGTAAGTAAAATTTCTTTGTCAATTTTCTAATTGTTTCTTAAATTATTTTAGTCCTGCACGGTCTATTTTCTTGTTGGCTTCCAACCAGTTGCTGGCAAATTTTTTATATTTATGTCTTTCATAATACTTTGTTCTCTCGCATCAACTTCACTGGCATTAATGATTTCTGCTTTATGTAAAACAGCAGATATGAGTGTAACTGTTTTACCAATGGCTCTCGAAGTTACTCGTCTTTTTGGTGGTTACTTTTTATCTCCAGCAAATTTACCGGGTTATTTTTCTTGGCTCGATGCTCTTTCTTATGCTAAATATACATATGTTGGACTGAGTCTCAACGAATTATCAGGTCTAGAATTATCATGTAAGGGTGCTACTAGCAATGCTACTTGTATACACAATGGTGAAACAACGATCAAATTACTTGGTTTGGATTATATTGATATTGGCGGCTGCGTTGGTATTTTACTTGCATTCATAATATTCTGTCGATGTGTAGCCTATCTTGGTGTACGATTTCTTAAACATTAATATTGATTTTTACCATATTTTTTTTTGTTATTGTAAATCATATAAGTTATAAATAATATATAGTTATCTAAAAAACTCTCTTTTGAATGATATTTGCATACATACATTGAATAAAGTTCGTGAACTTAATATAAAAGAATGTTTTATCATAAAAATAATACAACAGTATGATGAATGCCATTATTATAAAATATTTTGATAATGAAAGGGTACATAAATGTCTTTCGATTATTATTGCAAAGGTGAAAATAAACACTTGATATAATTATTAAAATAGGTAAGTTATGTTGTATGTGAAGTATACCCTGTATACGATTGTCTTCAGATTTATAACACATTTAAATAATTATATTTTGCATAGATTAGCAATCGGTTAATATGGCTGGAGGTGCAGTTATTTCACCTCCATCATCGAATCATGCGTATCTTAAAGGTCGTCAACTTATATTTCCTTTATGTTTAGCTATTTCATTATTTTTTCTTTGGGGTTTCTCATATGGTCTTCTCGATGTATTAAATAAACATTTTCAAAATGTTCTTAAAATTACAAGACTTGAATCTACAGCATTACAAATTGTTTATTTTGGTGGTGGTTATTTTTGTTTTTCACCAATTGCTGCTGAATTACTCAAACGTAAAGGTTACAAAACTACTATTGTTATGGGTTTAGCTCTTTACGCATTGGGTGCTATTGGTTTCTGGCCAACTGCTCATTATTCTAATCCAAATAATGCTAAACAAGCATTTGGTGGTTTTATTGTTTGTACATTTGTTATTGCTTGTGGTCTTGCTACATTAGAAACATCAGCAAATTCATATGCTACTATTATTGGTGATCCTAAATCAGCTTCTATGCGTTTACAATTTTGTCAATCATGGAATGGTGTTGCTTCATTTATTGGTCCACTTATTGCTTCAAGACTTTTTTTCTCAAGTGAAAATGCTGATAATCTTGATAATGTCAAATATGTATACATAGCTGTTGCTTGTTCTGCAGTATTAGTTGCTATTTTGTTCATCTTTTCTAAATTACCAGAAGTCATTACAGATGATGAAGATTCGACAGGTACTACAAACGATAATAAACCAATATGGAAACAATATAATATGATTTTTGCATTCATAGCAGAATTTTGTTATGTTGGTGCTCAGGTAAAAAGTAATGGTATTTGTATTATTTACAATATTTTATTTTTGAAATATATTATGATTTAGGTCACTATTGGTTCATTTTTTATTAATTATGCTACTGAAAATGCTGACTTTACAGATCCCGAAGCTTCAAATCTTTTATCATATGCTCTCATCGCATTCACTGTCGGTCGGTTCGTTGGTACTGCTCTAGCACATTTTTTTCAAGCTGATTTAATTCTTCTGGTCTATTCAATAATTAGTATTGTCTTATCGGCTTATACATCTTTTGGTTATGGCCGTTCTGCTGTTATTGTTCTTATGGCATTATATTTCTTTGAATCACTTATGTTTCCAACTATATTTGTTATGGGAACAACTAATCTTGGTCGTCATACTCGACGTGGAGCTGGCATACTTATTATGGGAGTTTCGGGTGGTGCAGTCTTTCCACCTATTCAAGGTGCTATAGCTGATGTATATTCAACTCGTATTTCATTTTTAGTACCAACAGTTGGTTTTATTGTTGTTTTAGCCTATGCACTTTTTCATTGGATTAAACATGGATTGAAAATAAGACGTATATCTGCAATTATTGATTTACATGATATTCCTACTGCTGAACAAAAAAGAGCATCGATTATTATTACTCCAGATACTGCCAATACAACTATTGAAAGTCAACGTAAATTATCACATACATCAAAATCTTTAGAGATTTCTCCTATAGAACTCTCAAATCAAATAATAACTACAACAGAAAATTTGTACTACAAAAGACATCATTTTTAATTTCTTCTTTCGTATTGTCAAACAAATATTAGATAGTAGAATACATAGTTTTCTATTATTTACTTATACTATACCGATCAAAAACAATTATTGAGTTTGTTAATTGGTCACTTGTATTTTTGTATAAAAAAATTTCTTTCGCTTAAAATTTGCTCCTACCTACAGGGTGTCTTAACTATTCATCTTATGTGTAACATACGATCGAAAACGTTGACGTATGTAAACTTTTTTTTTTCTTCGTCAAACAAATAGGATGACGAACGATGATATATTTATTCAACGATCGGTTATTAAAGAATAAAAAGAAACGATTTGGCCGTATTTAGAAAGAGAAAAAGATTCATAACGGTTTTTTTTCGATTGAAATAAACGCCTATATGTCTTTGTCAAGAGCATCTCCTCAAATAATACTTCGAATAATTCGTAAATCAGATGGTAAAACAATGTCAATGAATATAGCTGAAAATGAAAATCGCAAAGTAGAATTTATTAAAATACAATTAAAACATACGTTTCATCCACATGGTAAATTTCATTTATATTATAAAGGTCGACATATTAAATCTCGACATAAACTATGTTATTATGGTATAACCAGTAATGAACATAATATTCAAATTATTTTGTATTAACTATGCATCTGTTGTTTTTTTTGCATAAATATCTAAATAAAGTGATTTAGTATTTCGATTTAATCATATAATAAATCAAAAACTATTTTATGCACTTATATTTGCTGCATCTACTGAGAATTTTTAGCTAGGGTAAAGTCTCTTTATAATGATTCTAATTGTTGTTCATCATACCATACGTACAAGTATTTAAATACATAACAGTGCACGTAATGTATCATTATATCTATATAAACCAATATTATATTCATTCAAGTTCATTGGTTAATAATGATGTATTCGTGAGAATGGTTTATTTCTCTTATAATTCCTATTGGTAATTATCGAGTAGTTAATATTAAATTTTGTATACTGCCGCCAGTCAATGATCTTATCTCATTTCTTTTTAGATTCTTTTTAATTATAATATCCAGATAAAATTCCTTTTGAAAGAAAAAGAAAAAAGATTCTTACCAGAAGTTTAAGATATATTAACGTCTATACTTTATTTGTTCATGTTTAGACGGGAAAAGATTATATTTAGTATATTCCATTTAATGAGCAAATTATAGTCTCTTCAAATAACGCTTGAGTTGGATGCCGACTAGAATCGATGAAATTATCTAAGATCGATCTAAAAACATGAATTCATTTAAATGTACATCGAAAGTAAATAAAAATAGTATATTATTTTTAAAGGAAAACCGTTGACTAATAATTCGTGACAAAAACCATGCTAAAGAGCACTAATTCTAATGATTTTCATCAACTTTTCAGACTCTAATAAAATATATATAATCACTAAAATCATGGAGTCAGCTGGTTCTTTCTTTGAAAAAACATCCTTATTTACTTCATTCACAAAATATCATTTAAATATTAATAAAAATCAAAACAAAGTACGCAATTTATACTGGATGCTCTTTAATCATTTATCATAATATACGACAATCTAAAATTTGATATAATTCTTCAAAATCACTATGGTATCATTTACTATTTTGTTTAAAGTCTTCTAATGTACAACAATATAATAAGAATAGTTTCATTTAGAATATTATCCCATTTGTATGTTTGATAGTAATTAATTATAGTTTTATAATAAATATACATTTTTTGAAATATTTTTATTTAAAACTATCCAGGTAAAAAAACAGACGTCAGATCGTACAAGATTTGATTAGGTCTTATACATACAAGGTTTTTTTACAGGATTTTACCTTAGGATCGAACAATATTGTATGGGTTCATTTTTTTTAAATTTCATAAGATTCTGACTGCAAGACACCAGCAGAAATCTTACAAGATTTAAATATTCATAAACAAAGAAACATACAATAGTTTAGAAATCTGATCTTGCCTACTCGCATATGACTTGATGTGTGTTTTTTTTATTATATAAGAAATGACGGTCAAATAATTACTTTATCGTGAAGACATACAGTTTATAGCTTCTCTATAATCAGGATACAGATGACTAATTTTCATTCTTCCTTTGTTTCAGTATATGTATGGACATACGCATATTTAACTTCTATATATTCTTAATATACATGACTCATTTTCACTCTTCTTTTCTTTTACTATCTATTTACATCTATGTAGTGCATAGTTCTTTATGTTAGTGAAAAAGAAGGAGTTTTGTTTTTTTTGATGTTATTGTTTAACAGTGACTTTCACAATATGTACTATGGACTGTCTTTAGAAATAAAAATTTTCTTCAAGATCCGAAGTCAATTTGAATTGTCTTTGATATGTGAGTAACGTGTACTCGCAAATAAATCTATTATAATCTTGCTGTACGATTCTGTATGATCGTATACTATCGTATAGGAATCTGTAATTGATCTTACGATCCGATTTCTCGATCTAGGATTTTTATACATAAAGATCATAGAATTGAATTATGTAATGTATCAATAACGAATTGTTTTTATCAGTACATTTATTGAATATCATAGCATAATAAAGTGTTTGTTCTTTTTTATATATTCCACTGTAAAATATACTGCAATTTTATTTCTACACATTTAGACTTTGCAAGATGGTGCCACCACCATTGACAAGCTTCGATGATCGTGTAAATGCATTATTAGATCAAATGAGTGATGAAGAAAAGGTTGGTCAAATGACACAAATCACTATCAATTTAATACTAAAAGATCCAAGTAAACCATGGAATGAAATTGAAGTTGATCCTGATAAATTAAGAATAGCTATACAAGATTATAAAATTGGTTCTATTTTGAATGTTGCTGAAACAGGTGCTTATGCATTAAGTCAATGGCAAGATATTATAGGAAAAATACAAGACGAAGCTAAGAAAAGTCGTTTAAGTATTCCAGTTTTATACGGTATTGATTCCATTCATGGTGCTAATTTTATTCGAAATGCTGTTTTATTTCCACAAGCAACTGGTCTTGCTGCAACATTTAATACAACATTAGCACGTGAAATTGGAAAAATATCTGCACATCAAACACGTGCAGCTGGAATTCCATGGAGTTTTCATCCACAAGTTGATATTGGGTAAGTTTAATATGATATTCAGATTATTGTTATTTAATATAAAATTTAGTCGTCAAAAATTATGGCCGCGATTATGGGAAACATATGGAGAAGATGTCAAACTTGTTAAAGATATGGGTCGAGCATATATGGAAGGAATGCAAGGAGATGATATAACATCACGTGAAAATGTAGCTGCTTGTCTTAAACATTATGTTGGTTATGGACTACCATTATCCGGTCAAGATCGAACTCCAGCATGGATTAGTGATCGACATATGCTTGAATATTTTTTGCCACCATTCGAAGAAAGTGTTCGTGCTGGTGTTGTTTCAGTAATGATTAATTCTGGTGAAGTAAATGGTATTCCTGGTCATGCAAATTATCATTTATTAACTGAAATTCTTAAAGAAACATATCAATTTCATGGATTTACTGTTTCAGATTGGGTATATCTTTATAAAAGTATTTAAAATCAATTTAAAAAACTAATATTTATTTTCTAGGAAGATATTATACGTCTTAATACACGTGATCAAACAGCTGATACACCTAAAGAAGCTGTTCGTCAATCAGTTATGGCTGGTGTTGATATGAGTATGGTTCCATTTGATTATTCATTTTATGATCTAACACTTGAATGTGTACAAGATGGTTCAATACCAAGATCACGTTTAGATGATGCTGTACGTCGTATTCTTCGTGTTAAATATGCATTAGGTACAATAATTGAAATTTATTATTTTATATAAATATGTTCTTTTTATTTTAGGTTTATTTGATGGTAATAATGCGTGGCCTGATAGTTCAGCATTAGATACTTTTAGTAAACCTGAATATGATGCAACTAATCTACAAGCAGCACGTCAAGCAATAACTTTACTTAAAAATGATAATAATTTATTACCTTTGAGTATAGATAGAATAAGTGAAATAAATAAATTAGTAATTACAGGTCCAACAGCAAATACTCTTACATCATTAAATGGCGGTTGGTCATATACATGGCAAGGAACTGATGAAACAATTTATCCAAGAAATTTAACAAATAAAACAATTTTAGAATCATTTCGAACACGTTTAGGTACATCAAACATTGATTATTATGCTGGTTCATCATTTAATACATTATTTAATATTGATAATTTATTAAATGCAGTTGAACAAGCCAGTTATATATTAGTATGTCTTGGTGAACAAGCATATACAGAAACGCCAGGAAATATTAATGACTTAACATTAGATGAAGCTCAATTACAATTAGTTGAAGAAATCAAAAAACGTACATCAGTACCAATTATAACAGTTCTTGCTGAAGGACGTCCAAGAATTATTCGTCGTATTGTTGATTTATCATCAGCTATTGTTATGATGTATTTACCTGGTATGGAAGGGTATGTAAAATAGATTTTATTATCATATGTATGCTTCTTTTTCCTTTCAATAGTGGTCAAGCACTTGTTGATGTTTTATTTGGTGATTATAATCCAAGTGGACGATTACCAATAACTTATCCTAAATATAATCATCATTTATCAACATATGATTATAAATGGACTGAAGTTAAAGGTGGTAATACTATCGATGTGGAATTTGAATTTGGACATGGTTTAAGTTATACAACATTTAGTTATTCAGATTTAAATGTTCCATCAAAGATTAATTGGAATGATCAAATAATTATTACACTGAATGTACGTAATACTGGTTTAAGACAAGGTGATCATACAATACTTTTATATGTTTCTGATCTTTATCGAACAATTACACCACCGAACAAAGAATTAAAAGGTTATCAAAAATTATCATTCGAACCAAATGAACAAAAACAAATTCAATTTACTCTTGATCGTCATGATTTATCATTTATTGGAATTGATCTAACTCGACAAACTGAACCTGGACTTTTTACAATAACAGTTGGCAACCTATCAGCTAATTTTACTCTAGTTGGTGAGGATCAACCTGGTAGTTGAATATCAACATATCAATTAAATTAACAACAATATTTTCTTTTCTTTACGAACATACTTCTTTTTTCTGGCTAGAATATTCATATAAGAAAACTATCATTTAGTCTTTTTTGTCTTTAATATATAATATTGATCTAGATTGTGTGCAAACTATATACTCCTTAAAACTGTTTAATTATGATATCTAAATGTATTCTAAAATATTTGACTAATACAGTAGTATTAAAATTCACGTATTGTTCTATTGTATTTGTTAACATACGAGATTTTTACCATATCATAGTGTAAATGCTGTCGACCTGGTTGGCATTCAAGTTTCACTCAATTGCGAAATGCGATGCTCCATCAATTGATCATAATTGAAAAGAATGAAATAGCAGACATATAACTTCTTGCTAATTCATGGGTAGCTAATTTAGGATTGAACTCTTCATTAGAAGCAGAAAATGATTGTTATCAATATTGAATATACTGCGATAAAATATATAGCTCTTTTCAAAAAAAACTTGCACAAAATTGAATATTTTGTATAACGATTTTCTCGACATTAGAAAGTAACTAGAAGTTTGACTTTTTCAGGGATATATGTTCGTTAGCTGTACTACACGTTGGATATATACAAGTGTGATTTCTCTTCTTTTTGATATATAAACATTTACTCATGACATAATCTACTCATTTAAAAAACTATCATATATTGACATTACATTATTGTGACAGAGGCATGGGGTGCGCTCGTGCTATTCATCATGAGATCGAGATATCATCAAGAACTATCCATTACAATACAAATAAACTGAAACAAACTAATTCACTTAAACAGTGAAGAGGAAATCGTTGACTATGTGCCACACGGAAATAGAAAAAATCCATATTGCTCAATATATTTAATGTAGCAATTAAATAACCCTCAGTGAAATTCACGATAAATTATCAACAAATAATGGTTCATATTATGCTCATATACTAAAAAATTATCTTCTTCCTGCTGCTAGTCAAGAATTGCGTCAAAATTGGTGTTTACTACAAAATAATGATCGTAATTATACTCACAGTATCTCCAAACAATTCATCAACAACAAAGTATCCGAATTATTGGAGTGCCCATCTGATACTCGAAATGCTAATCCTATCGATAACTTATGATCGATCGTAAAACACAACGTTGAAAAAAGAAAACCGGAAAACAGTGATAAACTCGAGCTTATTTTATGTGAAGAATTTAAAGATATTGATGTTAATATTGTAATGAAAATTGTGATGTCGATGAAAAAATGATGTTTATCTCTTATTGAATCTAAACGCGAACGAATAAAATACTAAAGTATAGTGTTTAATAGTAATCGCTATAGGCTATCAACCAGTAATGGAAACTACTTGAGAGTGACTTATATATGAGGATATATTTATATAACAAGATGTGCAAGTTTTTTTGAAAAGAGCTGTATGTGTATAAATGATCTTCTCACACATATTTACATTTCTAAATTTTTACAAGAGTATTCCCTGTAATACGCAAAGAAGAAACAAATATCTGTTATCTTAAATAATAATCGTGGAATGAAACAATAAAAAAAGAATAGTTTAAATGAAATCGAATGGTTTTGTTATATTGTTGAAGGAGGCATAATTTAATGAAGAACTAGTTAAAAAGGTGTGTTTAAATGTCTTTGATTGTCATGGTACAAATATTTCTTTTAATGAAGGTCAGTTTTATTTTTTATTTTTAGATTAATTTTAAAGTGTGTGGGTG